TTATATAATTTATTACCAGCAGAAAGAAAGTGTTCTTATTCCAACTTCTAAAATTTCATTTGTTTCAAACACAATCTTACCTAATTCATTTATTTCATTTCCTCCTACAAGCCAATCACATTTGCATTCACACCATAAATTTAAGATTAATTTTTAATAAAAATCAAAACCACACATGCAAAAGTTATGCCATCAGAGGAGGAACCTACGTACTACTAACAAGGGAGGAAATAAAAAATATATATATATATACATTTGCCAGAGACCAAAAATACTAAATCAGCAATTTCTAGCATCCAAGAGTTCTGAGAAACAATAACATACACAAGAATGATTCTATAACTCTTTATACCCGAAAGTATCACATAAGATGATTGATGGTAAATGTATTATAACTCTAGATCCTTGGCTAACATGCTTGTATATCCGCCCGGCACCTCCATTCACTTAATATCTTAACAACAGAAGCACCGCCGCACCAGGGGCAACTAGTGCAAACCAACACAACCTAAGCCAACGTTGCTTTCGAATATCCTGCAGGCAATCCGTAAAAAGATGAACAAAAACATTATGACGAGGTTTCACTTCACGTGATATAAAAATGAAGATGCATAAACACAAATGTCAAAATGCATTTGGGATGTCGTTCACTTTCTTCCAATTTTTCAATCCTTGTAAGGTTTGAGCAGGCGTTTTGGATGAGCTGTAAATTTTGCTGTGAAATGCTGCTAAAATAACTGTTAACTAAAAATATTTAGTACTTGGTAAAAATAACTACGAAATATGCTATCACTTTAAATTAGTAAAAGTTTAAAGTCTAAATTCTTAATAAATGGTAAAGTTATTTTTTAAAAATTAACATTGTAACATTTAACTTTAAACCTATAAAAAGCTGCGGCAAACTGGGCTAAGAAAAAATTTTGTGACAAGTAAGGCATTTTGAGAGATATCTACAGTCTTGATTAGAATCGAGTTCGTTGGTAGATTGAGGTTATAATAGACTTGTAAGTCTAAACCTTATTTCAAGTGACGGTTTCACAAATACAGGAGTAAGAACTCAGAAAAATCAGTTACAGATAACATGCTAACTTGATTCTTGCGCAGAAGAATTGTCTAGGTCAAGACTGAGCCCTGGATGTTCCCTTATTAAATCATCTAAAACTCAAAAAAGACCATGGCCGACCGAAATCAACGAAAATGTCATTCGTTTTTATTATGCTTATCATATTCATTTTAATCTTTCCTAATGACTACCTAGAACCAGTTTGGCCGAGCCTTTGACTTGTGCTTTTGATATAAAAAGGCACCAGTTTCAACCAAAAGTCTAGATGAAACTGCTTGTCATTGCTATTAGAATTTAAATTTAGTTTTTCAAAAATCCAACATCACAAATTACTAGCAATTTGATAGTTCTAAGATATCATGTCATTCATAAGTTTCATTTATATAAGTTATTTTTCAGATAAAAGTGTAATAGCAATTACCATTTATCATGAACTATTCAAGTACTCTTGAATTGAAACAAATTAATTGAATAATGAACATTTATATTTCCACTAAAAAAAATGAAAAATAAATGAACTGAAAAGTAAAAAGTATTTGAAGGAGAGAAATTTTGAGGGGAGTATATAATATCATAAATTGTTCAAATAATCATCTGTTGCTATCTAATTTATTTATTTTTTAGTTTCACCATCTAACACTAATTCCTTATCATGATTAATTAAACATGATACAATTCATGCATACTAAGATTCAAATTAACAATATCGTTTACAAATTTTTTTACCAAATGTTCCACAAATTGACTTAAAAGGACTTCTATTGAAAGTTATCCTCAAAACATTTAATCAACCACGGCACAATCACCAATTTAACAAAAAGGTTCTTCTTCCAGTCTTGTTTGCAGCTTTTGACCCTTTTGGCTCCATTCTAATATGGAAATACATTTGCACTTAAGTTCAAGAACCCACACAAGGGAACAAGCAAACCCTTGTATATCTGTTTATGGTAACATTAACTGTGGCAGTATGGTAGTTGGATATAAGATTTGAATGTCGGGTTCTGAATCATAACTATCCCCCTTGAGACCCTAACTTATTTAGCTGCAGGCAAGAAGACAGATGAAGAGATGCGTCCTTAAGAGTTGGCGTAAGAGGAACGTACATGTAATAGTTTAAAAATCGCACAAGTAAACTTAGGTTATTCGAAAATGCCTAACTTTGACATGAAGAATACTATCTTATTCTTAGGCTAAGTCCATCACATGTGATATAAAAAAGAAATAAATCTCCAACCACAAGACCCACGTCCTCCACCTTCATTTAAACCAAAAGATTGTCCTAAAGTGGAACCATAAAAAGAAAAGAAGATCTGATCCATCAAAAACATTTAGTTTTCCATTTCCCTCTTTAACTTAAATTTTCCAATAAGATAACAGAGAACTAAACTAATTTCCTTAATGTTAGCATAGTCAGAAAAACATATCCATACATGGAAAAACAGTTCATACCTTCAATGACAGAAGCAAGGAATCTGCAGATGAAGATTTAAGACCATGAAACCCAATATCATATGAAATGCTCCCGTCAGCTTTGAACAATCCATAATTTCTCTCAGAAGTGGGCCCAGGCTTCTGATCTTCATTGAAGATTGCAAAAATATATGCCTTCACCACAATTTTGGGCCTGAGAGGAGTTCCTTTCTTCTTTGCTAATCTTTTACGCAGGTTATAATTGTAAGTTCTTGCATTACTTGAAGTTGCAGCAGCTTCGTTAGAATCTCCACGTGATGCCCATCCTGTTTCTGTAACTATAACTTCCATCTTCTTAAATCCAGCATCTTCCAAAGCAGCATAAGCTGCATCAATCTGAGCATCAAGCAAGTTATCATAATGGAGATTTGTTTCTTCATCATAAATCCCCTTGTTAGGCTGGAAAAGAGCGTAATTGATATCAATATCCTCTGGGTTATACATATATGCCAGGAACGGGTATGCATTTAAACAAAATGGGGAACCAATTTGAGAGAAAAACTCCAAGAGTGGCTTCATGTACTGAACAACATTCTCTTTAAATACACATGATGAAGGGGGGTAGGAATTAGCAAAAACAGCTTGTGAATGAGCTGTTGTAATCTGAACTACATTGGCTAAGTGAAGCTTATTTACAGCATTGTAAATGTTCTTAGCTGCACCCAGAAGAGCACCCCAAAGTTCATAATCCATCCCTCCTAAAACCTCATTTCCAACAGCAATCCCACGTATTCGCGTCCTAGGTAGGAATGCTTGCACATTTTCTTTAACCCAGCTCATAGCACGACTAGCATTGGCACTCATGTCCCTCACATTTTCATTTGGTAGTCCAATCACAATTTCCAGCCCAGTTCCACTGAAAGCTTTTAGGACACTGTGATCAGCATCATATATTCGAATGTTCCTTATCTTCGCCGCCCTGAGTAGCGTGACTACATCCTCTGGTGATGGGATATTATCTGCAATTCTTCCATAATTTATTCCATAGGTTCCAATGAATGCACGAACAGATGTTGGTTCTGCGCAACAAAACAAATGACCTTTAAGCAACACAGCTCTATTTCTGCCACCATATCAGAAGCAAGAAGGATCGAAAAGAAAAATAAAACAAAATGAAAAGAGGGACGGCTGATAAGATTCAGTAAATGCCTAATAACAATCTCAGCTTTTCTTTATCAAGAAAACCACAATCCACTGTCTAGGAAGTGCTTCATTAAGTTGACTTGCTTGGACATTGATATTCACATTTTCTGTGGGAGAAAACTGAAGTTTTGTTCTATTGAATTTTTTGGGTAATCTGAAATGTTGCAATCAGAGGATGAAGTAGCACATATCTTCATGGATTGCATAATGAAGCCTCAATAGCCACAGAAAAAGCAGGACCGATTCTATTTTTTCTTTGATGATCTCACAAAGGTTAAAGGCATTAATCCTACTATTTGTGGATAAAATGAGACAAACCTATATCAACCAGCAAGTTTTAAATCAACAGCATCATAAATTATCGGAGTCAAGCAGAGTCAATCCCCAGCAAAAGAAGAACTGATTCAAATTTAAATTCCCAAAACATACAGAGCAGAGAATAAGCTTCATTAGAGAAGAAAGATAAATTTATGAAAAGAATAAGATACCCATGTTTCAGCTCACTATTATTCTATCCAATTTCAGATCAAGGCAAAAGTAAAGGCAACCCAATAATAATAATCACAGTTAGGAAAAACGAAAAACTCAATTGGAAAAATAAAGCATACTCGAACGAGTATGAGTCATGTAAAGTGATCCAATCAAAACCACCGAATCCAACAAAAACCCTCATTATGTCGAAGCAGAAACTCCCCAAAGAAAAGCAACTGAAAATCAAAATTCTAATAGAAAAAGAATATTAATACGCAAGTACCCATTGAGATTGAAGCGAAGAAGATTAAAATCATAACAAGATGAAGGTGAGAGCTTCTCATCCGCCATTGTCTGAGCATAAGAATGAACCAGTGACGACTCAAGTTTCGGCAACGATGTGGATGAAGGGCAGAACTGAAAATCCGAAACACAACTTCACAGCAATCAGTGTTGTCCCTCCATGCCATAACACGAAGTTTACCTTTCACTCACTCTCTCTTGAATTACAATTACTGCAGTTACGAAAGCAACGATCTGGGTGTAATTCGTGGGATTTGCTTGTGAAGCAAAGTGATTGTCTTAAGGAAGGAAAAATGGGTGTGTTTTTTTGGCGGTCGTTTTCCGTGGGACTTTAGGTGGAGGGGTTTGGGAATTTGATTGGCTTTTTGTTTTTAACTTTCTTCTTTATTTTATTTTCTCTTAATTTTTATTTGTTTGTAATCTTGTTTCAATCAGTCAAACTTCTACTTGGCCTCCGCTGAAGTATGCAACCACGGGGACGAGGAGGAGTGGAGGAGGAGACCGTAGAGCGACCAACTTTACTGTGTCACGCGTCTGGTTCTGCTCTGGACCTTTCTTTCTTGCTCAAAGAATTTGGTATTTGTATTATTTAGTTTTATTTGAATTATTTTTAAAAAATTTAATTTAATTTTTTTAATACATTTAACGCATTAAATTTATTAATATATGATATTTTCTTATTAGTTCGATTATAAATCAAATATCTCGTTTGATATTACATGTATATGAACTATTTTGGATCAATACAAATAAGAAAAAAAAGCATCAATTCTCCTTATTCTCTTTAACCCGTGAAAAGAACCAAGCACTATGGTGTTTGAAAAATTCTAAGCTTCGAGTAAGAGAAAAGGTTCATTAATTGTCTGCACATGTATCGATTTGGTGATGATGAAGATTAGGGCACGATGCACTTAATTGTGCGATGAAGCAAAATAAGAGGATTAGTGCATGAGAGGGAATCTTTGAATGTTGTTGCAATAGCCTAGTGTGTTGTTCGAAGAGAGAATAATTTGTTCGCGGTTATTTTTAGGTTGAATATTTGAAAGGTTATTATAATTATAGAGTATTTGAGAGTTATAAGGAAAAGTGCATTGATGGACTACTATTTTTTTTATGATTTGTTTCGAGAAAGTTGAGAGTGAAAAACCAGACAACAAGAGAACGTTATGGAGAGAAGGAAAAATGAGGGTAATCGATATTAAGAAAAAAAAATACTTAATTTGAATACATAGATAAAAAGGTAAAAAATAATAAATATAGAAGCAGAAAAAAGAACCTTTATCGACTTCTCACTCACATCTCCCTCTATTGGCTTTGAATCCATATCCAATATCGTTTTCGATTTCTTCTCATTGTTTATCCCATCGAATTTGAATTTTTCTATTTCTATCAGTTTTTAATATTTCATCGGACTGAACTTTTGATTGGTGATTTTTTAATGAAACTCCTCCACGTAGTGTTAGTATAACATATTAATTTGAGTTTTTTAAAGTTTTTTTTTTTTTTTGAAAAAATAAGCTCACTCTACAAAACTTAATTTAAAAATATTTTTATCATTAAAATAAAAATAATTAATTATTTAAACAAGTTTTTTTAAATTATATCTAGTAAATGTATAAGACCAAAAGTTTCATAATTAGTGTCTGTGGTTTTGATACTACTATTAAAGCACGTCTTAGAATCATTTGCGCCTTCGAAACCCTTGTCTTAGAATTGACAAAACGTGTGAGACGCATTATTTTCTGAAATTTTTTATTCATAAAGTCGACTATATAGTTTCAGTAAATTTTATTACATGCTCTATATATATATATATATATATATATATATATATAAAGTTATTACTATCTAATATATTTTTAAAGGTATTAAAAATTTTATTTTTTAAATTAAGTTTCAAAAATAAAGTTTTGTATATTTTTACCAAAAAAAGGTACAAAATTGAGGAAGATGGAAGCTCAACATTATAATATTATTTATTACTATATATATAATTAATACGTACATACTATACTTAAGTTCTATATGTAATAATGTAAATAAATTCTAGTCATTAATAATAAGTAATTTAATAGTTAAAATTATTATATTTTATTTAAAAATTATAAATTTAAATTTTTATTAAGAATATATAATTTATTATTTAATAAAAATATATTATAAATTAATAATAATTGATTTATAATATTTAATTTAATAAAATTATTAATAAAAATTTAATTTGATTTTTTTAAAAATTACAAAAATATATATATATATTATAAACTGAAAGTGACCAATCTATATTTGACTTCAACTTTTTTGAAAATTAAAAGAAAGAGGGAAAAAAAAAAAGCATACCCTAATTAACTTTTTTTCTTTTATTTTCGTCCACATTTTCCGCCGATAGAACGATGGAATAAGTTTTTATTTATGTCCTTATATTCATCATAATATTTTTATTTTTAAAATATGAATTAATCTTCCATGAGTTTTTAATTATACAAACATAATATTATTAAATTATTTTGTCCAAAACGAAATTGAATATTCTTTGTAATTATTGCACAAAGCTTACTTAAAAAAAAAAGAGTAATTAAGTACTTTTTAAGTAGTCATCATGGTATTTGACATGTGTATATATATATATATATATACATTGTCACTTTAAAATAATAATAATAATAATAATAAAGTGGTAAAGGTAGTCTTGCCAAATAAAAAAAAGTAAAGTGATAAAGTTTATGGACCAATATACGTTAAAGTCCATGCACTATTTGTGTGATTAAGTAGCTGCACGACCAATTTGAAGGGTAATTAAGAGTTCGATTGGGGTTTAATTGTGATTACAATATTAATCACGACTTAATTAAATTGTCACGTCTTTTAAAAGCTAATGAATTATGAATTCTGCATGCAGCGGAAGCTTAGCAGGTAAGAATTTCAGAGAGAGGGAAAAAGGGTGTTCCTTTATGATAAAGTTTTACATTATATAGCCTTTGAAATAAAGCTGTAATCATTTTAGTATAATAAAAATATTATTTTTTAATATATAACAACATATAATATATAGTATTTGGCAAATGAGAGACACGTAATAATATTGGAATCTACTTTCTATAATTTATTTATACTAATTAACACTTTTCTTGTATATACCAATTTAATGTCAATTATAATTTTTAAACAATAATTAAATTTTTTAGTTATAATAATTATAATAAGTTAATTTTTTTGAAAATAAAATAATTTGTGGATTAATATATGATGATATACCCACCTATAGTAGTAAATAATAATAATAAACATAATTACATAATTAATGATCTCGGGCCGGGTCCTGTTTTATTTTAATTAATTATCAGTCTAAATGACATAAACACCCCTGAGCATTTGAAAAATGACCGGATGAGATAACATCGGCAACCTTATCTTCTGAAATTTCCCGATCACCAAATACCAGTAAAACAATGGCGACAACATTTCTCTCAACCGCCAACTCCTTCCTCTCCTCCTTTACTCTTTCTTCTTCTTCTTCTTCTTCACCATCTTCTTCTCCTACTTCATTATCATCCTCCCCGACATTGCTTTCTCCACAAAAGCCCACTCCCAAGAAGCTCTTATCTATCTGCTACCCCTACACCGACTCACCACCCCTTTCCCCGTTTTGTACCAAAAGAAGCTTATCAATCAGCTTCATTGCCACTTTTCTCTTCTCCCTTCCTGGCAAAGAATGTTTCCACACTGCCAGTGCAGCCATTTTAGAGGCTGATGATGATGAAGAGCTTCTGGAGAAGGTCAAGAGGGATAGAAAGAAGCGGATTGAAAGACAAGGAGTTATTAATTCATCTAATCAGGAAAAAGGTAAGCACTTAAATAGTTTGCTTTATCATTAAACTGACCGACATATGGATTATTTGATTTTCGCGCGTTCGTTGTTTTATCTCTTGTGTTTTCTTGTATTTGAATGAAATGCAAATGATTTCTTTTATACATGAATGAGAAATGCGCAGAATTTTTCACTCGATTTATCAATTCACAAGTTCCCAATATTGCTGTATCAATTTTGCTCGTGGACATTTTGCTACTGCCATTAATGTCATCCGTTTGAGGTACATATGTCGTTTATAGCATATGACAATAACAGGCGCATCCAAGTCAGGAACAAAAGAATCGACCAAACTGTTCAAGAGATGCTTGCGGAAATGGTGAATTCTTTGCAATTTTTTTTGTTTGATAAGCATCAAATGGAGACTATTAATAACAACTAACAACTCACTTAGCTTATATTGTTTTTGCCATTAGATTTCCTTATCTAAAATAACATGTCATGTTCAAATACTTGCAATTTAATTGAAAACAATCATTTCTAATTTAATTTTCAATGGCCAGTTCTTGCGTCAAACAGATTGGGATTGTGTCATAAACAGATTTTTTCTTTCGGTAACTTTGCATCAAATAAAATGCCTGCCTACTAACAACTAATATGTCAGAATAGCTTTTTCTCTAAATTAATTTTCATTATCACTATTAGATGGTGTTATTTTATCAGTGCGAATCAGGGGTATCATAGTGCTCAATGCCATCTCTAGTACTCACCACCTTGTATCCAGGTTCTAGAGAGTGACTTTGTTGCAGAATTGAGTGATGACAGTCGATCATAGTATATAGTTACCTTATGCGATTAATTACTGTTGTCATTTCTGCAACAACTAGAAGCAAATCAATTCCATCTATTCACTTATCATATCGTATTAATTCCAAACACATCGTTACAAATTCTTTTGATGGTTATGATTTACCTGTAACGACATGATCCACCCTTATAAAAGTGAAATGTTTTGTTTCCAGGATATCTGCAGGATCTAGTGTACAAGTTAAGCAAAATAGGTCAAGCCATTGAAAACGATGATCTTTCTACAGCCAGTTCAGTCCTTGGAGGGAGCACTGGTACAGATTGGGTCAAGAAAGCAAATGTAGCCTTCACTAAGGTCATAATGATATAGTATTGTGTTTACTCACAATTATGTGCAGATTAATACAGTGAAAATTTTCATAATAATAAAATGACTTAAGCAATGTGGATCTTTGCTTTTCTTTCCCATTAAGATCTGGCATGCTAACATTATTTTTTCATCAATGCGTACGTATGCTTTTTTTATTCCTTCAATGAGGGATTTTCTTGATGAATAACATTTTTGCTCTTCTATAATCACAAATTATATTCTGCATGGTTTTGAGTGGTTTTTTTTCCAATGTCATCTTGGCAGTTGAGCTCCAGTCCTGAAGAGAAGACTGAAGTGGAAACATTCAATTCTTCACTGGCTTCATTGATCTCATCAGGTTAGTTAGTTTACATCACCTAATCTGAATGAGGTTTTGCCTTACACTAGTTGCCGATTTTTCTGCTTTGATCATTATCTATGATTGTAATCTTTTGCCTTGGACAGTTGCATATGTTGTCTATTTGCTGGGTTTTACCTGCTTTGATCATTATCTATGATTGTAATCTTTTGCCTTGGACAGTTGCATATGTTGTCTATTTGCTGGGTTTTACCCGACATTTTTTAGGAAAGAAAGAGTCACTTATATTAATAGGGCACTAAGATGGCATCACCTAAGTAGAAAACCTACACAGAAGCCAAGGAAACAAAGTTCTATGAGGTTTTCTAAATGCTCAAAGAAAAACAGAGGCTCACCTTTAAATAAAATACTTAATATCCGGACCATTTATCTCTTGCAAAAAAAGATATAATGCCATCAATATCCTCCTATTAGTTTCCTTCTAAATGACCCACATGATAGCCATCCCGTGCCAATGATTCATTAGCAATCGAGCCACTTATCACCCTGGACATATCAAGAACAGATAAAGATAAAACCGTTACCTTCCAATTTTTATACACCATAACAGGAGATAATTGCTGGATTCACCCTCTTGCTAACACATTGGACAGCCAGTAACTAGTCCACCGGTCTTTCTTGAGTTGACATGTTAGCACTTGCACTGAATAAAATATGTCGATCTCCATGTGGTTACACTTCTCTTTTCCTTTTTATGTTTGAATCCATGTTTTACCCATAGAATGATTATAGAACTTAAACTTACATTTGCATACAAGGAACATACACATACTGAGAATATCTTGTAAAACAATAAATTGAGAAATTTCCTGACAGGTTCAATCTTGGAACAATCAATCACCGAACTCTATTATTTTATAGCTAAAAATACCATATTTGGAGGACCTATGCTGCATGCAAAAAGTTTGAATGTCTGTGGTGTGAGTATATAGTTTAGTTGTGTTCTTTGTTGCACTGCATGGGTTGAGTATGTTTTTTTTCTTCCTTGTTCTTTTGCAGTGTCTCAAAACGACATTGAATCCTCCAAAGTTCATTTTGTGTCATCGGCCAGTGCATTTGAGAAGTGGACAACCTTGACAGGGCTGGTAGAACAGCTGAAGGGCCTTTAAAAGGACAAAAGAAAAAAAATAAAAAGAACATTTGGTGGTTTACCATTCACATTCTTTTAGCATTGGGAGGGAAATTTTACAGTTTTCGTTTTCTTTAGCTTTCTTCCATTTTCCCAGGAGTCACTCATATTCAAGACTGACAAGCTGTTCTTTAGTTGTAACACCTTGCTCAAATAGTTTTGAGCTTCGAAGGTTTATAAAAGTTTCCTAATCTTTTTCTCATTTTATTTATTTCTATCGGGTTTTTATCTAGCATGACTCCGATATTTGCAGCATCATATGCTTCTTTTTTCTCCTTTAAACCGAAGCTCATCTGGAACCTGTGATGGTCAATTGCCAAGACTCAGACGGGACAAAATTACTTGGAATAAAAATGAATAGGCAATTGAATCTAGCTTATTATATTACTGCACAACATCACTTTCTACAGTATGACATCATGTTGTTACAGACTCGAGCAAGCTACAAAGTATCTTCACTACAACAGAAACATAATTACATTTGGCACCTACCTATGTATAGACAAATGTCTCAATAAATAATCAGACTGCTGTGATGAAAACATCAAACTACATCAGTTTTTGAGGAACTTTAAATCTGAAAGGCATAACCTGGGCAACATGGTACCTAAATCAAGTTAATCTATGTTGTTAACCCCTCAAGGCTTGACTCCGTCAGTGTTGCCACAACTTCTGCAATTCACAATTACCTCATCTCCGAACCTGCTACTCCATATGAGATCTGCACTGGTGTTCTCTTAATATTTGTCGCTTTCTGATTCCTTCTTAATTTCTTCCTCAGGTTAGGGAGCTATCACATTGTATTCTCTTTATCTTCTTCAAGTTTATTCTTCTTTTCCCCAGAATCCGTCTTTTTCTCAGCCTCAATATGTGGCAGGTTAGCATTTTCTTTGGCTTCTGCAATCTCCTTGTCCTTCTTTTCCTTCTCACTAGAGCAATCACCTTCAATCTCCTTGAGATTTGACATTTCAGTTTCTGTTTCAACATGTTCCTTGCCTGCTTTGAAATTAGATGTGCCAATGCTTTCTCCAAGTTTGGCTTCTTCAGGAGCAGCAGCTTCCATTGTGGCATCCTGCGTTTTATTCTCATCTTCCTTATCCTTCAAATCCTTATTCCCAACATCAAGATTATCCTCTAAAAGATTTTCTGTACCTTCTATCTCAACTTCTTTGGTTTCCTCAGCTCCTTTAGGGCTAACTTCTGTGTCTTCCTTATCCTTCTTTGTAGCTGATGATTTTCTGCTTCGTTTTTTTGCTGGTTCACTTTCTGGGGCGGGTGCTGCCCTTACCTTCTCACTAATCCTCACTGATCTCCTTGGGGTCTGACCAGTGCCCCAATCAAACTCTGATAATGCTGGACTGCCAGGAGTGGCTTTGATGTACTTCTCCAGCTGCTTTCTGTTATGTATTTCCTCTCCAGTAGGAGAAATAAAGACGACTTCATTTTTCTTGAAGATCCCACTCTTCTTTGGCATAAACTGCAAAGTAACAGAGAATGAGTACATAGTGAACCAATCAATTAACAGAAATCAAGGAGTCTGATAGTTGAAAAGCCAAAGACATACACTGAATACTTGCTTAAGTATTTGATCTTTGTGTATGTCATAAATTAGTAATTTATAAATTTCTTCCAATGATAACTTTGAGTTAACAAATTAAATTGGAACTTGATGATTGTGTTGGGAAAAAAAAGAGGTAAAATAAAGATAGAGATAAAAGAGAAATAGAATTAGGGGATGAGTAAGGGCAAGAATGGAAAGGGCAGAAGAACAGCAGAAATAGAAATAAGGGGAAAAGACTAAGAGATCTTATTCAGAGTCAACAACTTTCTATTAAATAGACATACCTACGTTGAAATGCTAAGAAAATTGTTTTACAGATAGACACCAAATACATCTTAGAGTCCTTCTTGTTTAGCTTCTTCCAGTTGTCAATTATACTAACCACATATATGATAAGAAAATCATCAAAAATAAAAAACAAAAAAGTGAGTAGAAAGAAGAGAAGGAAAAATAACAAGGCCAAAAGATAGATTTTCTGAAGTAGTGCATAGAGATGAATGACAAGGCCAAAAGATAGATTTTCTGAAGTAGTGCATAGAGATGAATGACAAGGCCAAAAGACTTACGGCCAAAAGCAGTAAACGTGGCAATCACATAGTAGATGTTGTTGACTCCTAATATCTGGAAAACAGAGTATTGCAAGTGTTTTTAGGAGACATATATGAAATGATCTACCTGTTAGAGATGAAATAAATGATAAAATCTGTTGATCCAATACAGTTCCGACATATGGATGCATAAACAGGCTGAAAATGCATGACTTATATATCTGCATTTTTGTTACATTCATAAGTCTGTCTCTATTGTTGACAATAAGAGTCAGTGATAAAAGTAGAAATACCAACCAATGAGAAAAATTCTAATCTCCTCATTTGACATTGTCTTTATAACAAAAGCTAACAAAGAGATTCTATTGTCCTACAGGCAACAATAGCTGAGGTCTGGCCCAAAATGGCAAAAATTGCTCCATAAGATGTGCCACTAAATTCAGTTTTCTTTCCCATAACCTCTAACCATCAAAATGGAAATTTAGAAACCCTTTTACCATTTTATTCACGCATGACACTATGCCCTCTAAGTTTACTTTTGAATGTGAGTACCTAAACAAGTACAAAGGTGAAGCAATATCTTGGAAAGCTGTAACTCATAGGTACTTAAAACTTGCACATTTGGATCGTGGTATGGGGTAGATGCACAAAATATGATAGATGCTAAATTTAGATTTGAAGGGGGACAGCCTTATATAGTACATTATTTTGATGCAAAGTTCCAATAAACCACTTATTAAGTTCGTCACTAGGATCATAAGTAACAGTGTGATAGTACATTATACTCTATTGGTTCTTGTTCTTTTTCCATGAGAAGAAATTTAGGGTTCAAATCCTTTTCATAACTACAAGAACTTTACAAATTCCTAAAGAACCTAGTTAACATTATGTGGGTTTTTAACATTGATCATCAATATATTTTATTGAGTTGTAAGAAAGAAAACATTGTTTATTTGGCTCCTACTAATCTCAAATTTGAAAGAAAGTTTGTTACAATATATACTTTTCACTCTCTCTTTCCATAATTTTGTTCTCTCACTATCTTTAGACTCTACCAACTTGCCCCTATTTCTTCTTAATTCTGGGTCCCTAACTTCAGAGATCCTAATTGAGAATCAGAATGAACTACAGTGAACCCGTACTACGAACTAGTTCAAAAAATTCAGTACATCCCCCAAGGGGAGGTGGTTTAATAGTCCTGGTAACTATGCTCTAACTTTGAATCTCATCTCATTAGCTTATATATATATATATAATATCAATGAAAGAAATTTCTAAATTGTAACTATTTTGAACCTGAAAAAATTTCTCCAGTTATGCAAGCATAACTTGTACAAGCATCTGATGTAAAGCTCTGTCTCAAAATGCATAAAACTCCACTTTCTCAACGATTAACCATTGGCTTATTAGAAGCAGGATTAAAACGGCCTCAACTGTTTTATGCGCCTTTGGCTAACTAACTCCAAATAAATGAGCACATAATATCTTATGTTAACACTAGTCACTTTTTTTCTTGTAGAATTGAACACCCAACCTCACATTAAGTTGTGTGATGAACTCGAACAGACTAGCACTTTGACTCATCCCTAGTTGCTAATAACCTTTGGTTAACAGGAGACCAAATGATTTTGGTGATCGAGCCTCTTTATTGATATTATGCAGACAGATGGACAGTCAATAAATAGGAATGAAATTAGAATACCAAGTTACTTATTAAGATCAAAATGACTGTGGGTGCATTTATTTCCTTCTTTTCTGAAAGGAAAAAATTGCATCAGGTCCTAACTTATGCAGACAGATGCACAGTCAATAAACCAAGTTACTAATTAAGATCAAACTGATCGTGGGTACATTCATTTCCTTGTTTTCTGAAAGGAAAAAATTGCATCGGGTCTGAACTTTCTTTAATAAACCAATATTACACAAGTAAGATGCTTCTGAACACCGAATACCCAAACCACAAACTTCTCAAGTTTTTCCAAAAAACAATTGCACCTATAGAAATTGGAGACAAAAAAAATTATATTGCAGAGCCAGCACCTCCTAAGGATCCTGCTCTAAACAGAAGAAACCATGGTGACTCAGTCTTGTGAAAAAGCTTACATCTAATAGACTTATTTGCATCCCAACTAGCAGTTCAAAGCCATGCTCGGCAACCTAAAAGAAAAGTTTCACTCATTAATCAACTAAGCTAATACCTTGACCAGTTCATCAATGTCAATACTTGGCAATGACGACTACAATTGATCACTTTGTGATAATATCTTTTTCTGCTCAGTGGAGACTGCAAATCTCAAAAATTTATTCCAAATCAGATAAATCAAGAATTCAATTGAAAAGCTCGTATCTAGAGTTACTTTGATTATTTTGACATGTCACAACCTCAAATAATAAACTGCAGCTCAACAACATCCTAGACAAACAAACATCACAGCCCATTGGTGAACCCATGAAGCTAGCATCGGGAGCAACTCTGAAGTGTCAATATTTAGCAGTGCACATGCTAGCTATCATCGGAAGCCATTTATTAGTACCACATAACTTAAGACATGGCCATTTCCAACTTTTCAGTTGCCAACTCATAAAGAGAAAATTTTGTATGTTTTCATCAATATTGCCAATAAGGAAGTGCTTCTGCTGTGCGTGCCACAATTGATGTTCCTGATTGACCTATATGTACCTTGATCAAAGTAATGGAGGTGCAAGTTTCACATAAGAGAAAGCAACCTAATGGTTTTGTAGCTTCTAGAGTGATCACTAGAAATAAACAGAAAATCTCACTAAGCAACATGAGCAAATCCCAATCACATTATTCATTATCTCAGCAACAAAAGCATAATCATAATAATTTTTGCAATAGGACAGTGCTTCGAAAGGTTATTCTGTATGACAGGTATAATCATACATCATTTTCATCTTTTGCTATTAGTGGAAGAAAAAAATTGAAAAGGACAAACAAAATTCATCGGTTAATTAATGAGTACACTAAAGTGAAAGAAATATCATGTCAGCACATACTCATTATCCTAGGATACTTAATCCATATATGTAACTAATTAATACAACATATATAATTTTTAAGTCAAACAAAGTTCATTATGAAGTTGTTATTTCCCTGGTTATGGCACCAGTTAAGTCCCACAATCTTTCTCCTTCCGAATAAGTAGATAATAGCAACAACAGTTACACCATTAAGAGGCAAATTCGCACAACAGGAATCCCACAGTAAATGACAACTTCTTGCAGCAAAATTTAGAATCCAAAATATGAACATGAAATATTTCTGAACACAATTCACATTCCAATTAGTAAAAACCAGGAAATGATAATTATTTTAATCAAAACTAACATTTTTTATTTTCCAAAATTGGAAAAACAGACGCAGTAAAAACATCTGAACGTTACAGAATCCCGCCTTCATCTATTTCCATTTCAAACTCCTGTTTGGAAAAGAAAGGCTTCCGTCCACAAACATGAAGAAATAGAACAAATTCTGGGGGGTAATTGAACCTCCATGCCTAAATTAAAAAAGGAGTATCAAGTACTTCAAACAGAAATCAGAAGATAAAAAAATGAGCAGACTTTATAACTTGCAAGTTACAAAGTAAGAAATCCCAACTTAAGCTCATCAATTTCGCACCAATTTCCTCCAAATTAAATAAACCTACATGTAATTTACACAAGTAATAATTGAATTCAGAGCACAGAAACAACAATCATTCAGACATTACATGACAGAGTCAATTGCTTTCGAAGCAAAGACAATTGAGAGAGATAGAAGGGGAGAGGAAAAGAGGAAAACCTTCTTGCTCCAACCAGAAGGAGCGGGAAGTTCAAAGCAGACAATATCCCTTTCCACAGTCTCGATTTGTTTCTCCTTATCCACCGAAGTCGCCATTTCACCTACAACATTCCGTACAAAAGAGTTATTGAGAGTTAGACGTACAGCATACACACACACTGGATTATACACGTATACCGACAAAAAGACAGTACTTACTCATCTCGTATGGTCTCTTATCTTCATCTATATGCTAATTGGTAAATGCATATCGGACATACCGGATGTCAACATGGATGTCCTGTTTAGCAAAGTAACTTGAAGAAATGTTTAGAGGACAGGAAGGGGGGAAAAAAAAAGAAGAAGACGACTTTCGAGCATACACGTATCTCGTCTCTGCAACGGTTGGAAATATCTTCGTCGTTGATTAGTGTGTCGACGGACAATGCGTGCAGTTTCGGTCGAAGAAACAGGCCGGCGTGGGCTGGCTGCCGATGAACTTAGGCTTGGACTGGAGATCAGTCGCCGATCCAGCTTTGGCACGAGGCGGAGCGAGTTATGGGCCAAAACTTATTGGGGCTGGACATCATCTAAATCCTATTTAACAATTAAAATGCAAATTTGTCGGGGAGTAAACCCAGTTGTGAAAACTGAAATATCTCTACTTATTGGCTTGGATTATAAAGCAAAAAATGTTAGGGGACCATCTCAAATATATCTACAAAAGATTTACTTTTCATTGAAAAAGAAAAACCAGGCTTGCTTTTAAAAAATTGTAGAGTTCCTAGAATGGTGTAATGGTTGACGTCGTGGTCCTGGATGATTAAGTTAGAAACCCACATGTGTGGCTGCCCCCAAATTGATAGTTTTAGTTGTTTTTATCAAAATATTTGCATACCCAATTTGACATGAAATCAAAACAGACCGAGTATATACAGGTTCATTTTAAGGTGATAAAGTTTGTATTTTTATTTTGCTTAATTTGTTACATAACCCCCAAGTCAAAATCTGTTTTAATTGCAGCAGCATGTATGTATATAGGATATTCGAACTAAATACAGATTACTCAGCTCTCATACCAAAACTCCATAGATGTCTTACTTTGGCTGTGTTTACCTCTCCGTGCAATATGGTTTCTCATAAAAGATATGTGTCGTTGCATGTATCTCTTCCTGCAAAATGAAATAATTATGGATTTTAATATATGTTTATGCAAAATGAAACATAACAAAAAGTATCATGCGAAAAGAATAGATACCCGGAAAAGCAAAAGAGAAATATATCCATGTATTGAAGCATGTGAGTGTAAGCCAGTTGTATATAGGAATAATGAACATATATTGAGAGCTGGAAATTTGATTATTAACCTTACCAAAAATTTTAACGAAAGAATTGGAAGACGCAGGATGACTACTTGTTCCAATATGCAACCGCGACTTTTTCTTAATTCACCACAGAACAATCACATGACTGGACATGCCATTCTTCCTTTTTCAACTATCATGGATACATATACACTTGTTTGTATTATCATCCCCCACCTCCATTAACCATGCAGTGGGAGCAAAGCTATCACCGCTCACCACCTTGTTGTTTAATTAGATATAGCGACTCGTATATATAATTAGACTTGATGAGAGGAGATGATGTTTGGCAGAGTAAGTGGAGTCTTCAAAATTTTACCTGTTGCTTTTGCTGATAAATAATAAAACGGAAGAAAATGAAGTTGTGTAGCAACTAGCAGTACACTGTTTTGAATAAAATATTGCTTTTTTTGCAAGCAATGAAGCTAATTATATGCATTCACTTTTTTTGTTTTGGAAAGAATAATTTAAGCACACTACTACGAAAGAACTTATTCTTAATTTTGACATAGAAATTTAAAGAATTTATAGTTCTTTTTGTACCCTCAAAAAGTTTATTTCCAAGATCATGCTGATAAATATGACAGTGTCTTTTACTAACTATTATAAAGATCATACAAACAATTTGGATTTATATACTGACAAAATACCTTCTTTTTAGCAAAAATGGAGCTATACAAATGGCAACTCATGGTTCCCTGGATTCAGGGGAAAGAGAAGCTCTCATGTATCTTTCTCACTTCCTCCTATAATATACAATACGCATACACACACACAGAGACACACAGACACACACACACACATGTATATGTATGACAAGGGAACATAACACGGTCTCTATGTTTTTCTTTTTAAATTTTACACATTCTGAAGAATGGTGGATGAAAAATAAGTACAGCTATAAATATAAAGATAAACAAATATTACTTTTTTATGGTGGATATATAAATATATAGTATATTAATTATAGTAGACATGGAAAGAGACGGGAGCCTAACGGGAGTGCACAGACCCCATATCAAGTTGGGGAAAGTCGATGGACAAAGATGAGATCCTAATAATTTCCTGGTTTATCATTTTCTCTCATGTCTCTTACAATCAATATGCTTTTATTGGACTTTGTCGTCTTCCTAAATAAGTTACTTGTAGTTTATAGCTCCCTTCCTTCCACAGAAGCAGAAATCCTTTTTACTTATGCTTTTTATAGCTATATATGTGTATATATATATATATATATCCGCCTCGTTATTTATTTTTGTATAAATCCAAACAATTATTATTAACTGAAGTGAAAAATGAAAATTATATAAAAAAAAAACTCATATTCATTATATATATAAGTACGTAGAAGATGAAGCATACTTTTCCTTCCTCTTTACACCTGGCTCCTGGCGGAATCATATTATTTCTTCGTATTCTTTAAGTTGGGTCATGTTAAATTCCTCCTGTTCCCCTCGCTAATTAATATTTCAATCTTTTTCTTAACTTTACTTTGTTTCATTAATTGATAATTAATATTTATTATATATATATATATATATATATACTGCAGTCAATTTTGTGTGTTGCTCTGTCTAGTCGCAATACTAATTAATCGCCTTCTCCTATATACATACATATATATATATATAATGCATATATTTTCTCTCCCTCAATCTGAATCAATTTTTACGAGTCAATATATAAATATGTACCAAGAATATTTACATTATATATATGTGTATATGAAGGAAAAAGATAGAATTTATTAAAGACAAAAATTTAATACATTCACACACACACAAAATTAGGCTAGGGGACTGAATTTAGTACCAACGAAGAAGAAAGTATGGAGCAGCCACTGTACACAACATGTATATATATATATATATATATATACACATACGTACGTACATACCAAATAATCTTCGCTCGTACGCAAGATTGGCCATGTGCTACTAGTCAAGACATTTAATTTGTAAAAGAAAGGTCTTCATCATTCACATATTTATAGATAGATCACGAATAAACAACCTTTGTTCAAAATGTTGTTAAGTTGTTTTCATTAATAAAGTCTAGGTGATAAATTTTTTTTTTCCAAAAAGAAAGTGCACTTATATATATATATATATATATTATATTGATATATTATGTCATTGTAAATTAATATAATCCGGAATCACTTCAATTTTTCATATTTGTCGAACCTCAAATATAATCAACAACAATAGCAAACTAATGTACAATCATTAATAAAAAGCTAAAATTTTATTTAACTTTCGTACCTCTTTCCTCTGAAACTTTTTCTACTTCAGTTTAGCTAATTCAACTCTTTTATTAGCTTTATCCTTTTTTGGCTTCAGTTGTGTTCTCATAAGTTTCTACGTATTGATTGCCAATCTCCTAATCTCTATTGCACACATTTTTTATGGATTTTCTTTTTTCACGATTAAAGTGATTGTTATTTTGTTTGAAAAGATAAAATATCTTTAATTACAAGAATAATAGGTACACAAACACCATTGAAATGAATCTTAGTTATTGAACCAATTCATTCAAAGCTAAACTTACAAAAAAAGTGTATATATTTGTAACTCGGCCCCAACACAAAAGAAATATAAAGCAAGGACAACCTAGAACTTGACTTTAAAGCTCAAATATATTTGGACTACCTCCTTCAACATCTTCTAAACATAACATAAGACAATTTAGTTTCAAACAGATTATAAAATTATAGGATACATAATGAAAATTTTGATGAGAATCTAACCTGAAATAGGTCTACATGATTGATAGAATTGACATATCACAACCTAGTTCCATAAAACTATATGAAAGCAACTTTAGGATAGCATGAGGTGATTGAGAGTATAACTATTTGTTCCAATAAAGACCACACATGTGTCCTTAAAGAGAGAAAAGTAATCACATTAAAGAAATGGTGTGGTAAAATTCATAATAATAATCTAGACAGTCAAACATGAAATATCTTCAGTTTAGAAGAGGCTAAATCTAAATCACATTTTATCTATGTATTTTTATAATGATGAAATGATAAAGGTACGATTGTAGCTAATACAATTGGAAAGATGAATGGTAACATACCTCACAGGATTATACCGAAGATTAAAGGTTAAACCAAATAAGGGTATGTTTTAATGGTCCCTTGTGAGTTTCAATTGATGTGTCGTGTATCAAGTGACTTTTAGGTCTTTGTTTTTGTGTGATATTAGTGGTGTATAAACAATTTTATAGTATCATATAAATTTTTACAAAAATCCTCATGTCTTTCTAAATAAGAAAGGTCTTTTTAACTTTATGTAATTGGTATGTGCCTTAACATCTTTTACTTTTAGACATTACCTACTAACTTGACATACATATCTTTGTTGTATTATCTATTTTATTTTACTACTATAATTTTGTTGAATTGATTGTGAATAAATTTCTAATAAATTTTTAAGTATGATTATATATAGAGCTTGCACAATATTTATGCCCTTTACTTTACAATCACCTATAAAATCTTGTAAATGATTATCATATTTGCAAGCATAAAAAAATGACTCCACACATTAAATATCGACAGTAACCTCAATAATGAATTCTATTTGAGGGATGTCTTTATTAGTTTACCATTTTATCATCATACTTTTAGTACTTGATAGGGATTTAAAAAAAATAAGTCTTAAGTTACTAAATTGTTTTAAGAAGACACTAAAGTAATATCAGCACAAATAAAGAGCTTATACACTAAAATATTAAATAAAAAATATAAGTTTAAAATAGAATATATGATTAACCTATAATACAATTTTAAGCAAACCTTTCTACTTATAGACTCTTGTAGAAGAAAAAACTAATAAAAAAATTCAATCTTGTACTAATGCATCAACTATGTAATATATGTTGTGTTGGAGTCTTTCACTCGTGCATTTTTAAAAAAATTAAAGACACAAAAATTATGTCAATGAAATTATTTCTATTATTTATAATAAATATTAAAAAAATGAATATGTAATATAATAGTAATTTAATAGTATTAGTAATTCAATATTTAATTAAAAGATGAAATAATTTAAAATTTAAAATAATTAAATAAAGAAAAAAGATTTAGGGAAATTAAAACTATAATAATTGACATTCAAATTGTAGTAGCTAAGTAGTAGTTGTTCTTGTTGGTATATATTAACACCTTATTTGGATAAATTTTAGTGATGCTTAATTAATATATATTAATTGCAGTAATCAAATGATAATGATATAGGATGTGGATGACAAATTTTTTTTATATTTGGATGATTGTATATCAATGTATGTTAATAGTATATTTTTATTAGGATGATATGGTTATATTTTCAGTCAAATTACTAATTTATTCCTACATATTTATGTAATAGTAAGTATTATATAAGAAATATATGATAAAAAAATTAAATCGTTTACCAATATAATTATATTTGTATTTAAATAAATAATTATTACAAATTAAATTTGTATATTCAATAAAATAAATAATAAATTGTGATATAAAGGAAAAAAAATTAACATATCATTTATATATCGCCGATTCGGTAGTTTTAAAATTCATTATAAATTTTTCTGTCAAATACCGTTTATTACAATTGAAAGTTGAAATAAATATAATTTTCTCACATTTATAGAATAACATACATTAAAATTATATAATTTATTACTATTTAAATAGAGTGTAATTTTTTATTTATTTATAACTAATACTCGTGATTTATGCTACACTGAAAAAAGATATAAATAAATTCAAATATGTAATAAAATATTGGTGATGTGGGTAATATATAAATTATAAGAAATAGAAAATTTCGCCCCCCTCGTCCGCTGTAGCAACGCAGAGTAGAGAGAGGGAGAGAAAATCAGTGGTCACAGTCGTTTGATGAGATAAGAGCTATAACATAATATGGACAGGTTTTATAGTGCAGCCAAAACTCAAAAAAGCCTTTTCTTCTCCCTCAGAACCCTAATCCCTCACCTAGCTGAACCGCTTTTCCTCCCCAACTAAACCCGGTTTTTCGTCAAACAAATTCCTTTCCTTTTCCCCTCTTCCTGGTCCCAGCATTTGCTGCCTCCCATGGCCACTACTAAATTTACTATACCCATTTCTTTTCTTTTTTTTTTTTCTTTATATATAGCTAAACAAATTCATCAGAAAAATAACTCTCTCTCTCTCATTACCCTCTTTGGATCCTCTTCATTTCTCTCTCTCCCTTTATAAGTTTCCATATATAAAAGACATTCAGTTTTACTGTTGTGATACATAGCCGAGTTTCAAAGCAATACGAGTATACAAAGAAAAAGCACAAAATCTTTCTTCATTTTTTTCTTTTTCCCTAATTACTTATTTATATATCTCTTAGCTAGCGTTGCTTTGCTTTCTCCATAACCTTCTGTGTGGCTTTCACAATTTTCAAGAGCTTGCTCTCTTCTTCTGGTTTTGGTTCTCGTTGGGTTAAGTTCAATTTGCTTGAAAGAGAGATGTCGAGCTGCATCGATGTTGCACCTGAGCAACTCTGCTACATCCCTTGCAACTTTTGCAACATAGTTCTTGCGGTATCTCGTCTGAGAACTCTTAATTCTTTACTGGGATCTGCTTTTCTCAGTGCCCACTTTCATATATTAACAATAATAAATTCAGATTTCCTCTTTCTTTCTTTTTTTTCCTGAATATATACATATATTAACATTTTTCAGATCCTGAAAAAAAGTTGAGTCTCTCCTTGCTTGTGCGCGATCGGGTTCTCGTCTTATTGTTTTCACTGCAGTCCGTTGAAATTCCTTTTGGGTGTTGGTTGTTTTTGGCATAGAGTCAGGTCTCAGTCGTTGAGACTTTCTTTTTCTCTCTTCTCTTCTTTTGTAGTCAAAGCAAAGTCATAATACTGAAGCCTCATGTGGTTAAGACCAGGAGAGAGTTTTTTTCTTTTGGTACGCAGGAGACTGTTTTTTAACGTCCAAACAAGCCATATTTCCTGATATGATCTCTGATCAAGACAACTCTTATGCTACTCTTACCTTTCCCCTTGCCAAAAACACTGCTACTGCACACTGAACACTCTATATATGCAAAAACTGAGCTTTCTTTAGCTGAGGGAAAAGAAAATGATAGATCTCTTTAACTTAGTTTTTTCCCTAAATGCATCCCAACTCAGAATAAAAAACCGAACAGAACCCATCTCATAATTTCTTTTTTCTTCTTCATTATGCGTTTGTATTTTATGTGTGCGTGTGAGCGTGCAGTGTGTATGAAAAAGTAGAAAGATCATTAATGGCTAGCAAAAATTAATTCTCTGAATCATTTCTGATCTGGGTTCCTCTTTATTTTTGGGTCTTTTCTTCTTGATGTTGGATTTTTTTTCATCCATATATATATGTCCATAATTTTTTAAAAAAGGTTTGTGAATGAAGACTGGAGATTTCAAGGGTTAATAATTGATTAATCTTGTGTTGTGTTGTGCTGTGCAGGTGAGTGTTCCATGCAGCAGCCTATTTGACATTGTGACCGTCCGATGCGGGCACTGCACCAATCTATGGTCCGTGAACATGGCAGCTGCGTTTCAGTCACTGTCATGGCAAGATGTTCAGGTAATATTATTGTCAAGCAAATATGTAGACACACACACATATATATATAAGCATGAACAGCTTAATTTCTAGGGTGGCCAGTAGCCTCTGAAATCTAGGGTTTTCTGAGTCTTAAATATACTTGCTTCTTTTGAGAAAATATATTCAAATCGAAAGTTTCAAGTCATAAATTGCACAGATCAAGAATTGCAAAGCATCTGTTGATGAAGTTGTTGGTTCACAGTAGTACTGATTCAAAGATCTAGCAGCCGCCATAACCCGAAACCTATTTGCATCTTCTTCTTCTTCTTCTTCTTCTTCTTCTTTCTTTTTTCCTTTTTGTGTAGAGAGCTGTTGGCTTCTGCGGCCACAGTTGTACGCGGGCGTCAGGCCCCTGTCCTGACCCATCACAACAGGCCCGAGCCAGCTCCGCCAATAAGGTCTTTTTTCTAAGCTTCACTTTCTTTTTCTTGAGCCGTTTTTTGGAATCCTACCTATTTTTATATATATATATATATTTATATATTATATGTACCTGCTATAGCTAACTACAAACCTTGATTTGATTGACATGAATGTTAGGGTTCATAGGTTTTTAATGATTTCTTTTCAAGTTTTTGTCCTTTACCGGGGAGACATTGCCATTGCCAAACAAACTCTCCTCTTTTTTTTCTTTTTTCTTTTTTTCGTGAATTTTTTAGATCTTCTTTCGTAATTTGCAGCTGGGCATTTTTTTTTTCAGAAAAAAAATTAGACGTTCATATCTGGGTTTTATTTGCTCCTTATATTATCTTCTTTTTTGTGTGCTGCAATTCTAACAGATTCAATCACTTCAGTACTAAATTTTCTTTTTTTCCTTTATAAATAATTCGTTATCAAAAAAATCATTTCAAATCTTTCAGCTACAAATGTTTCTCTCTCTCTCCCTCTCTCTCTCTCTCTCTCTCTCTCTCTCTCTCTCTCTCCCCCCCTTTATTAATCATCCATTTATGGCGAATCTGCAGACTGAAAAGTGAGTTAAAATTAATTTTTTTGGTCAAATAAACTTAATTAGAAAATTTAATTACCAAGAGGGAAGAGCTTGTATGTATCCAATTCGTAAAACAAAGTGCAACGACCAAAGAATCAAAGACTGACTTATGGGTTTTTCAAGAACAAACTTACTTTTTTTAATTTGACACAAACAATAATAAGAATCAATGATGGTAGAAGTTAAAATATTTACGCCGAGTCTTAATATCAATGGCCGATTAAATGTTTTTTTCAGGCACCAAAATACGCCTCCCCAGAGCCGTACAGGATTCATGAGTGGGGTTCGTCATCCAAATGCAGCAACAAGATGTCAATGAGATCACCGCCCAACCACAAAGCGGCTGAAGAAAGGGTCGTTAACCGACGTGAGAATCAATCATATATGTTTACATATGTATATATATATATATACACACACACACGGACTGCTTATTTGCTTATATCGTTTGAATAAAATTCATTGCGCATTTATGTGTTGTTGTTTTCCTTTCAGCTCCCGAGAAGAGGCAGCGAGTACCTTCTGCATATAACCAGTTCATAAAGTACTAACACCCTTCTTTTTTTTCTTTTAATATTTTGAATATCTGTGTGTGTGTGTATCATGCTTTAGCAAATACTAACCTTGTATATATCAATGGGGTAAATATGTCACAGAGAGGAGATTCAGAGGATCAAGGCCAATAACCCAGATATCAGCCACAGGGAAGCATTCAGTACTGCTGCAAAGAATGTAAGTAGCTACATAAATGAAACAGCTACTCGACAAACTCGTGTATATATTTGAGTGTTATAATCATTAATTGCTTGTCTAATTATATTTGCTAGTGGGCACACTTCCCTCATATTCACTTCGGGCTGATGCTAGAGTCCAACAATCAAGCCAAGGCGGATGGTGTAAGTACTTGCACTCTGGTATATATATTGTTAATCAATTAGTTTTATCTTTTAACTAATAATTAAAACTCTCTAGAAAATTTAAGCAGAGATGGTACTAATTTAAAATTTCTCAAAGTCTATAGGATAACGTTAAAGAATAACTTTTGAATCAGTCTTCAACAAATTGGCTGACATAATATTTTCCTTTCCATGATTGTATATACCAATATGAGTGTGCATTTGATTGAGTCTTGTTAATTAATTGCTCAGACGAAGTTCATAATTTCTCTTCTTTCTTCCTCTCTGGTATTTTTACCGATAGAATCTGAAACTTTTACATTGTGGATATGCATTTTCTTCCTTGGAAATCTCAAAGTGATTAACTCATCCTCCATTTTCAAGCTTCCCGTCCTCTATTAGAATTGCCCCCACCGTAGGTAACAAATATTTTCAGGTGTCTGTATAACAGTAAAGGCATTTGTAAAGCACGATGAATCAAGATTCTGATGCTGGTCAATTATTAATTGATTTTGTGCAGACACATGATAAGCACCTCATGCAAAGGGCTGCATTGCTCAAGTGATGAGTGTTTTCAAGAGCACTTCTAAACACGTCCCAAGAGCAGAGATTATCAAAGCATTGACTTTAAATTAGTGTTTTAATTAAGCATATTATGATTAATCTCCTTTATGTATTCATCCTCAATCCGTGTATTTGTCGTCTCAAACTTGTACTAATCACTTGATTTGAAGTTGCAAGCTACTGAATTTCCTTTTTCTGCCCGATCTAATCTTTCCCTTAATTTCCAACTGAATATTTACATATATATATATATATATATATAAGTAATGTATTAGTAAATAATTTTCATAATGTTCTTATTCAATTTTAGCTTTAATACGTTAAAGCATATCTATATACATATACGTACAGTCAATTTGCTTCATTTGTGTCACTAATAATACCCTAATTATGATGGGAAATAATACTTCCTTGTATATATTTATTTTCAAGATAAATTATTAAATTAATCTTGTAAAGATTTAGTATTTAATATTAATTAAAAAAAAATTCAAATAGTTAAGTGTTATTTGTCTCATTCCACAATCCCTTATCTCTATTTTGTTTCTATTTTAGAAAATAATGAAAATTTCCATAAATAATACGGTACATGATTTATTTATGCATATATGTATACATTTACTAATTTCCATCAAAATGGTTGTATACAGTTTATATAGGAGGCTCATGTAGCTATATGTACAGTATATGACTAGGGTTATGCAAGAGCAAAAATTGACCAGCTTTGGAAGCTGGCTTTTGATACATTGCACAGTATCTGGCTAGAGCTACGGGGGTACGATATAATATTTAATTTATGAACAATACAGGCAGTACTATACACACACCGTATATAAATATCTCCACATTATAAGATGTAAAGTAGGGTAATATAAAAATAAAAGTTAAAACAGTGATCCATTACTGATTAGCTTAGAACTGATCGGTACTGTAAAGGAAATTAAGGTTGAACTTTTCCCTCATATATCAGCCTGTTAAATCTATCTATTATAAACCCCCCAAAAAAAAAAAAAAAAAAACCCACAAAAAATTTATGAGTGTCTTAATTAGGCAAATGATTAACAGTTCTCTGTGCGTGTCATACATAGATCACGAACCAGAGAAAGAACCAGAATGTATACACGTCTAATTAACTGCTGCAGGTAGCTAGTTGATTAAACCACTCTGATAGTACGTACAAATTATAAAGACTGGTATAAAGATATTAAACAAGATTAATTGGACCACATACATCACCATCTTCCTCGCACTCTGTCGACCGAGAGAGAGGGGGGGGGGGGGGCATTATTGATGAGCTACGAATGGGCCATCATCGCATATCAGATACATGATCACGGTATACACACACGTATAGATACATACACACGCACAAACACTCATGTATATATATTTGAAATGTGAAATACCATGGATACTCGTATGGAATGGGATGGATGATAAAATTAATAAAGGCAGTGTTTCCTTTTCCTCGTAAAAGGCAAAAAAAATATATATATATTTATGTGTGGAAGAAAAGACGTTGTTTGTCCAAGTAGATGTTTCAAATCCTTAACCCTGACCTTGGTGAAAAGGAAATGAAATGGTCATGGTCATGTTCATGGGCCCCCCTTTTTGGAACCTATCATTTTATCCCTCCCCCCCGGGGAATCCTTTTGAATGCCCTTAAAAAGGGGAAACCAGTCAGTTCCCTTTGCAGATTATTTTTTAAAATCAAACAATTCAAGTCATTTAAATATATATATATATATATATTATAAGATTTTAATTGGTCAAAATTTTTTTTTTTTTGAAAAAAAAAAAAAAAAAAAAAAAAAAAAAAAAAGAGTAATAATAAAATTGTTCATGAGATACAAAGTAACAAGTATATATCACCAAGTGATACACGACAATATACAACCAAAACATGCACAATAAGAGTCGAAACCCAAATTATACTCGGCTGAACCCATCTTTATTACATCATTGATTTTTTTTCCCCCCACTTCAGAAACTACTTATAAACTTGAAATTTTATCTCAGATAAAGCCACAAAATATCTCAGAAGCATGGTAACGTGAATAATCTCTGCACAACAATTATATATATATATATATATATATGTAGATCATTAATTGTAGTGGTTGTACAGTATGTTTACAGGCATGGTAAAAGACAAACCTAGACTGATAAGAAATAGGCTAGGAATGAATAGGGTTGTCGTATGCTGCACAAATAAATGAAGCACCTATTATTTACTTCGATCCAAAGAAAAAAACATTACAACCAAAGTAACCATACATATGAAGCCTCTAAGTGAAGACTGTGTTTATGAATAAAAGCTGACAAGTACCAGTCTAAAAAAGAATATGCTAAAATGAGTATCACAAATTAGTCTTTTTATAATTCAAGTCGAAAGATGCCAGTGAATTTCAATGAACTGACTAAAGTATACATGCATATAAGAAATTTGTTTTCGGGAAATATGAGATTTATATGATTGATACTTTAAAATAAATTGATCTGAAAAATAGTTCAACTTATTATTTGCACTGTAATAACATGTCTCCATGCTAAATATGGAAATGAAGTACAAGCTTGGTATATGAACTAGTCAATGTCTTTGATTATATACCATGCAAATAAAAAGTGACTGGTGATAAATTGTCCTAAGAATTTTACACAAATATCTTTTAAGTTAAATATATTTACAAAAAAAAAATGCCTTCATAGTTAATTTTATAACAAACACACCCCTTTAAACCCTATATTTGATAGCAAATAATCATCTGACCCAAAAACAGTGCGAGAGTCTGTGTCTCCTGATTATAAGATTGTTCTTTCTCTAACAATTATTCGCAAATTACTGAGTAAATGAAATTTTGCAATAAAATTGAATATGAATGTATTTTGTGAATGCTTCAGATAGTAGTAATACAAGGACATTCTTCGTAGCACAAAAAAACCCTCCTCAATTTTAAAAAGATGGGAAGGATCAAAACTGTAATGGGAAAAATGGAGAATGAAGAAGAGAGAAGGTAGAAAGACTTAAATGATTGACATGTCCTCGGGATCTGGAAGCAGATGGTAGTAGATCACGAGTCACCAAATATACATACAAACCTATATATAAAAGTTGTCTAATAAGAAAGATGGTGTATGAAAAATATAAAGAGAAAATAAATGGTGGAGTGTGCGATAGCCAGATGGTAAAAGTCACCAGTCGGGAAAACAAGTGCAATACGACTAAGCTCAAGCTGCTGTTGCAGCTGGCCTTGGTAGTAGACTGCAACCCATTTCTGACATTAGAATCTGAAACGTCAAATTCATGCCTACTTTTCCAATTTCCAATTTCCAATTTCCAATTTCCATTGTTATTTCACTTCTCCCTCCTCACTTAGACTGACTCTCTATTCATCATTTATATCTTGCAGACATGATGGTGGGCCACAGAGTGGGGACGAAGAAGGATTTTAAGCAGATAGAGAGGACAAGTTCTTGTCGTGAAAATGGAGGCAATATATGATTCTAGTGGAATCATGTTCCTCTATTATATACTTATTCCCCCTTCGTCGAATCAAATGTGCGAACCGAACCTGTGCCACGTCTCTCTCTATATACTTACATGGTTTACAAACCCATTTTACTACTACACACCACTAACCAATGCCATCTCTCGGGGAGGACATGAAGTGCAAAAGAACAAGAAGCTGCCTCTTGGGGTGCTGTGATGTTGCAAATCATGCCTGCAGTAATTTTCTAAATTCATAGTAATTTAATAATTTCAATATAATAATCAATTAATAGAATGTATTGTAGTATCTCCAAAGTACTACAGACTTTCCTGCTTCCTGGATCTGACTAAGAGGACCGGCAAGTTCCCATTTACCTTCAGGTGACTTGACCATGCTACCAATCGTTCCTATACCAATAATACTAAGGAACCGCAAGAATTTTCATTTCATGACCAAGCCTATGCGCTTTTCAAGTTCTAATGTAGTATTAGCAGTTCCTGATGTGCTACGGGCGAACAATGACACCAAGGCTGTGACTCGTTTACAATCAAACACAAGATAAGAGAATGAAAATTCATACCAGAAAATACTCTGTGATCAACTTCAGCTTTCAGCCTCATCTTTTGTTCAACCAACTATTATTACAATCTTATGATGCTCTAACGCAGCGCTAACCTCAGTAATCTGCTGGAAATCAGAACCCAGAAAAAGAATAGCATTAGTAAATCCTAATGGAGTTAAATCTAACAATTTCTTGCACACTTCTCTAATCCCAATGAATATTAACCAACCCATAACTCAGCACAGCACCCAAAGTCATTTTTAACAGCAGATAGCATCTTTCCCTAATGAACTGAAAGATATCCTTGTCGTCTTGTCTGATCCAAAGCTGAACTTTACATCTGATACTTCATCGTGGTTAGATGCACTGCTCGTGGATGGGAAAGAAAAGACAAGTGCAGGTATAGACCTCTTTGAACCAAAACTGTACGAACAAATATCATGTTTCTCTGTTGGTTGATGCAGAACGCTAGCTGAGATGGTTGGCATGATGGACGGTGTTGGAGGCTCAGATGATGCACCAGAAGAAGAAACCGGAAAAGTAAACCCTGCAGTATTATCAGAAGGAAATGTCCACCTTTGTTCAGGTCTGCCGACAGAAATTGAAGGCAACACTGGTTTAGTCCCTAAAGATGAAGGGGGCTTCTGGAGATCTTGCATCTTGGGGCTAGCAGCATTAACAGCAATCTTTGCAGCATCCTGATAAGAAAATTGGAGCCACATCACATTAGCTCTAAATGTATATATGATAACACTTGCTTCAAGTCTATTGTTAAGTTCAGTTGCACATAAAAAATGCTCACATCGTGTAAGCTAACTATTCATATTTCCAAGGAATTCATGCAGCAAGCTGAGTCAGCAAGACAAATACAAAATTAATTATATAATATATCAACGTATCTTCACATTATGATTGCAATATTGATCACCCAAAAAAGTGAAATAGATATTTCAAACATCACAATGTAATAAAACTCAATCAGATTCTCCAGGGGAAAGGATGCTCTTAACTTCATTTTTAATCCACGTTAAGGTAGACCAGAAATGCAGGAATGTCTAATAAAAAAACTGTAAAATTCAGAAGAACCAGTAAATGAAAGTCCAGACTAATAATCAAAGATTCACATTTTAACTTTTGCAAAAGTAAGCGTGGGTAATTTTACAATCGCACATTCTGAACTTCCACTATTAAGTATTTTTGTCACACACCATCAGAATTGGCTCCAGCCCTCAGGCAGATGAAATTATTTTGGCCCAAATCTTCAACCTATTCATTAAATTTATGACAAGTGCAACCACTTTTTTTCAGTAACAAGTGCAACAATATACATGTCAGGATATTATTTTAGTTCCTAAATGCAGTTCTGGTTGCTGCTTGTACAATGGTCAGCTTAAAGAACATGAAAAATATAACCAACGAGCACTTCATCCAGCCAATTTTGAAAAATCAAACACTCTTGGCTGGTTTTTGTTAGATGCTCACCAGTCTGACAACAGATTGCTTGACTGCAGTAAGCCGAACCCAAATCCCCAAAATAAGTGTAAATTTTCTCACACTTTGATAGAGAGAGCATCAAGGTATTGGCCAAATCCAGGAAATAATTGTTGAAATTGTAATTTTTCAGAACATCAATGTTGAAGATACACCTCAACGATCTATATCATATTTGTATACTAGCAGAGGCAAAACACTAGATAAAGAGCTTGGGTCGGTAGAACTAGAAGTAGATACCTCATAAGCAGTCTTGACCCGAGAATCCTCAGTCTTACTGAACTTGAATGAAGGCCACAAATTATTGATATGTGCTGTAACTGTGCCATCATATTTTGCATTTGAAGATGAAGAGCTTTTATTCAGAGCATCATTAGATTCATTATTACTACTTAGGCTTGGAAAAGGAACCTTAAAAAGGGATTGAGGAACCTTAATTGAGGAATTCCCTCTGTCTTCTACGAACTGGGCTGAATTCTTCTGTTCAGCTTGATTAATGTATTTTTTAAAGTCAAAACTTTCTCCACATGGTAAGTTATTCTGCTCATTTGCCATTACATCAGCAACATCAGAACACTGGGACTTCCTCCACGAAGTAACTAACTTTAACTCAGCAGCCTTGTCTTTTGGAGTGGGTAAATTTCTCTCAAGATGATCCAGTATGGTCCTAGCCATCTGACTAGAATGTGGATGAACTGTTTGGTTACCCACTGCAGAGCATTTGCGCTTACCCTCCTCTGATTCAGAAATAGAAACACCAATTGTTCCACCGAGTTCCAGATTCTTCTCGACAGCTGGAAAGATGCTTTTTGAGACACTGGAATTTTCCAATTGAGATGAAACATTTAAAGGAGAACGGAAGTAAATGGATTCTTTGGAAGGAGTTTCTGCAACAACTCTATGCTGAATCCGACGAATGGGTCCCACTGATCCATGCTCATTGTCCACTTCTTTCTTCCTTGATGAAAACTATGTATTCAAAAGATAAGATTCATCAAACACCAACATATGTACCGAAAAAAGATTCAGAAAAATCAACTGCAATAGAAATAAAAAGTTGGTGCTACCTGGAACATATACTGTAATTCACAGTACTGGTACAGGAAGTTGGTATCTAGCCAGTACATGCTACAATGGGGAAGGCTTTAGATGTTATATAAAGCATCAACTCATCTAAAAATTAAGAGGTTACATTTAAATACAATTAGATTAACATGCATAGTAATTTTAAGAAGGTATATTAGTCTCGGCGGTAAGTTGCTTATAGTCTAAACACTATAAGACTAAGATGCATAGTAATTTTTTTTAATATATTAGCCTTGATAAGTTGCTTATAGTGACATTTAAAATAACCCTAGATTCTTCTAAGAAGGGGTATAATTCCTGGATATCAAAAGTTGCTATGATCAAATATTCAGCCTAAAGTATGCATAAACAAGTGTTCATGGACCTATTTCCATTCCTCAAGGAGACAAACATAATTCAACCAGGATCCATATTAACAATTTTAAACAAAAGAAATAGAATCTCAGGAGAGAATAAGATACGCTCTGTAATAACAAAATGCACAACAAAACTGATGTATCAGAACCAAAAAACAACTTCTAAATGTACATGCACATACACCCGTGAAGCGAGACAGAGAGAGTAATAATGAACATTCATTGACAGTAACTATCTGAGTTAAGCCCAAAATACATTTTAAATGAATTGTTCTAGGACATAAATCCAAGGATTTAGTTCCAAATTTGGTCCCTCACTCTTGCTTTGATTTTTAAAATATTCCCCAACTCTTGGAATCTTTAAATTAAGGAACCAACTTTCCATTTGGGTTCCAAATTAAATTTAAGAGAGGCTGCCACGTAAGCTCCATATCATTTAAAAAATGATGTGGCAGCCATTAACACCCAGACCGACCAAAGAAAACTTTGGCTCCTCCAGTCTCCCCAGTTAATTTTTTATTGTATTCATATGCGTACGTATAAATAAAATCAGATAATAACAGTGCATGAAACTTGATATATACGGATACTTTCTCTCTTCTTTTTCTCTATATATTTCTAATAACTATTAATATACTATATGAATATTACTAGTGAAGAAGGGAAGAAAGTAAATAGACACTACACCTGTCTGAAAGAAATACTTTATTTAAAAATCCTAATTAAATCAAAATAAAGTTCTTTTAGTATATAACTTAATTTATTACCAGTTGGATGACTGGTGGTGATCATATTTGCAGCTTACTTGATTCTCTGTCAAGTCTATGTGAATAACTCCTGTGGAGTTATTGAGTCTGCAGTAAGGGTCTTCACCATAAGCCTTCTACCAACCAAAATATAAGTCTTCCTCATGAGTATCAGAAACCACTACTTCTGATAGCTCTGCACCTTATTGAAACTTGGCCAATCTCTAGACCTACTGCATGCTTTTTTGCAAATAATTAACAATTCATGGTACTTAATTTTTGTCCCTGGATTTTGTTTATATCAGCGTCCTTTCTTATTGCTTGGTTGTTCCCCGTTTTTTCTTTTTTTTTTAAAAAAATAATGTTCCCTGTTTTTTCAAGTTCCTACTTTGGTTAAAAGTTAAAAAACACACATTGTATCAATATGTATGTATAGAGTACCTGAGGAAGAAAGGAATCAAGTTCAAGGGGAGCAAAGGAGACAAGTTACGTGAATTCAGTGTTAATGGCTGCAGGGTGATATGATTCTTTTTTATTTTTGAGAAAAGTTGGGGATTTACGGCACAGAATGCTGCCATGTGGCTGCCACACCATCTTCTTTAAATGATTTGGTACTTACACAGCAACCTCTGTTAGACTTAATGGATTATCTTGGAAAAAGGACTGGTAAAAAATGAAGCTGAAGAAGAAAAAAAATTAACTTCAAGGACAGCAAATTGAGGGGACAAGTTGTGTGGATAGGGAGTTAATGGCTGCTGGGTGGAATGGTTCTTCTTTATTTTTGAGAAAGTTGAATTTCTGGCACAGAATGCTGACATGTGGCTGCCACATCATCTTTAAATTTCTTTTGAGATAATATCATCTTCTTTAATTTTCTTTGAGATAATATCATCTTCTTTAAATGATGTGGTGGTTACATAGTAATCTGTGTTAAATTAAACAGATTATTTTGACAAAAGGACTGGTACAAAAATGAAGCTGACTTCTTAATTTTAAGAGTTAAGAGGTCAGGAACTATTTTGAAGTCAAAGCAAAGAGCTAACCGGCACTCATTTTTCTTAATTTACCTTTCTACAGGTCAACCTGAACATGTATTGTCAGCACAACATGCTAGAAGCAGTATCTTCTAAAAGCTAATAAGAGTGACAGCTGCTTCATGCTACCCTACCATAAAAGGCTTATATTCAGTATAGAGCCAATTGTGAAAGCAAGAAAATTATATTAAGATATTTCTTATCAAGCATGTAATAGGACAATAATCAACAATGATATCCGTTCTCAAGATTCATTTTCAATGAGAGGAACCACGTAAGTTCCAATGTAACCTAAAGAGTTCATATTTGAATAAGTCAAGGCAGCATGAAGATGCCAAAAAGAAATAATTGAAGTATCAGTATAAAAAACTGCTATTGTGAGCCTTACCAGGCCATGCGAAGGAGTTTGCAACTGTTGGAAAGAAGTAGAAGATATATTTCGGTGCATGCTGCTACCATCTTGTAATGGATTCAACTGAGGACATGAGGAAAAGAATAATCTTCTTACTCTTCATAAACAAATCTCTTTTTTTGAGATAATTCATAACAAATCTCCTTAAGTCAAAGCACAACTCTAATTGTTTATACCTGGGATTTTGCTTTTGAATAGATAGTTCTAGAATATGGAGTCCGTGGGAAATTATGAAGCCCAGATCTCCCTCTTTGAATTTGTGGGCTTAGGTAACCTCGTTGATCCCGTAATATAGCACCAGGCCAGCATGTTGATGGCTTAAGGGAAGGAGATGGTACAAGTAATTTTGATGGAAACCCATCCCTGTGCAGTGAAAACCTTTCATCTTTTGACATTAGACTCTTCGAACCATGATTTACATCTGATGTCCGGCTTCCCATGTAGGCTCTTGCAATTTCAATTGGCGAAGCACCAACCTCATCTGCCATCTGCAAAAACTTTATATCATTATCATAATTATCAAATACAAATCCATCTAAGAAATGACATTCTAATGACAACAATAAGCAATAAAATGTTCAAAGAAACAACCATTCCTATGAGGAAAAAAAGTAAAGAAAAATCCAAGCTACAGAAGAAATAGAAGAATATTTAATAACCCTCCTCTTTTTTTTATCCTTCTTTGCTAAGGGGTGAAATAAGAGAATGTTCAGGATTGTTGAAAGAAACGTGCTTAAAATAGTAAGGCGCTTTAAGTCACTAAAAGCAGATAAACTTTTATTTAAAAAATAAGCTTTTAAGTGTTTGTATAGATCATTCCTCTATTGTATACATCCCAATTTCTAATCTTAAAAGGATATGGAAGAAAATTGATAAAGTGTTGTGTAAGAAAATTGGAATAAAATTGATAATGTGTTTACACTCAGAATAGATAAAGGCAGGAAAACTTAAAAACACACAAATTATACAGATTTCCATGTAAACAATCCGATAACTACATCCATCACACAGACCCTGCCAGCTTATATTTTGTCTCCTTGAAGCCACTTCTGAGAACCTAATAAACACGTAAATATCGTAATAGTGTTTAAAATTGCTTATAAACAACAAATAAACAATCTCAAACACTCTCTTAGTCTTTTTTACCTTCCCACAAACTATCAATGAGAACTCCTAACACAAATAGGATTCAGCCATTTTCTTCCCAACAGTTTCTAGAGTACCACTAATTTCCGTTATAACCTATAGAAACTGTGACCTCAAGAAATGTTCAAGAATCAGCATACTAATCATGCTAGAGATAAATATTTTCATATACACATAGTGGATCCCAATGCATGCCCATAGTGATAATTTACTCACACTTGACTGGAGAAGTGGTGTTGAGGTTGCCAACAGAACTCTATTCACATCCTCCTGCTTTTCTTCAGTTCTTCTTGAATCTTCTGGAGTAACTACGGGCCTGACAGCTTCTTTTTCTTCTTTTCTAGTCAGTCCTGGATACTTATTTTCCTGATCAGCATCCCTTGGGTCAACAGCCCTTGAATTTATTATCTCTAATAGATGATCAACTTCATCCCTGGATAGCAAAAAAATAGAATGGAGATGAAGAGGCTTTCATCAAAGATATTTAATAAAAATGAGAAAAAATACATGGTAAATGTGGTGAATATTATCAAGAATCCGCTGCTTTATTTTACTTTTCATGCATCTCCAGGGACTTGCTTTCCAATTAGAATTGACATGAGAATCAACAACTATGAACTACCTAGAAAACTTCTTTCCCTCCATCAGCTTCTCAATTGCAGAAAGCTCATCGTCATTAATCAGCCCCATTTTGCTTTGTTTTGGTGCAACATCTGACCTATCTGCTGTTTTGCTAGGACCCGCTACTCCAGGAAATCCTGATTCTGAATGCTATAGGAGAAAATTCCAAACAGACAGAAAAGTAACTGGTAAGATCTCATCCATCATAATGCAAATATTTTATTCAATAAAATAAAGCTACAGTTAGAAAAAAGGAGGATCTCCATTTAAGAAAAAGAGGATAAGCAGCAACTAGGTTACACATACATGAAAAACTGCAGAATTTAGAGAGAAATTGAATTTCTTCTGCATTGAGAATGGGCATATATATGAGTATATATAGCTGTTACAAAGAGAAAAAAAAAATGGAACTAATAATATCAAATCAAATCCAATTAAATCTTCATACAGCAAGATTCCCCAATCAATGTACCATTTTTTTTAGAAAGATTGATTTCCTAACATTAAGACAAATGGTTGAGGAATTTCTCAACAAAATCATAGACTACAACTATTGGAACCTCAGAAGCATATGGATGACCAAATTACTACATGCCTTGTTTGGTTGACCAAGGAATGGAATTAGATTGATAATTCTATTGCATTTCCAATTTTGGGTCTTTTCATACAGCATGGAATGCAATCCTCAGCAACAAGGTTCAAATAAAACTCCATAATCCGATATCCGCTTGACGTGGTGTGACATAGTGACTCTCACACAATTGACATGGAAAGAAGATATCGGTATGAAAATTATGCCAGCTTTTTGTTTTGTTGTACCTTAATTCTTTCTTATACATTTTGATAAGTATACCTACCATGCATAAACATTGTGACAAAGATGAGACACCCAAATGCGTAAGACCAAATGCCAAAAATATAAAAGAAATCCTTTCACAAAAATATACAGTACCAAGGCAACAACGTCCTTCGAACAAAAAATCTGCTCTCATATTCTCTGTATTTTTCCCGACCTATAATGGGCCCATTATCATTGTCAACGGAGTGCAAAGTGGGCAATCACAAATATTATGCATGCTCTGAATATGAAGAAATCCAAAAGGCTTTTTGGTCAGGTTGATTCTGAAATTCAAAATTCAACATCTCCATTTCTATTGAAGGATCACAGGCTGGGGTGGTAGCAAGATAAAACATTGTCTCTAAAACTACCATATGCCTTGGCCCACAAAGATGCCAAAGAAGTCATTCTATCCCATAGAAACTGCAGAGGCATGGAAAGGCATCGAGCGTGATAACCATAGGAAGAAATTCTTATCTCTTATCCCCTTGGCCGCTTTCTGGGTTATTTGGAAGGAGATGACTATAAGGTCTTTTCAAGGCATTGCTTCTCCCAATAGGGGAGTTAGACCTCAATTCTGTTTGCTTTTTCTTCAAGGCTCATCCTCTTATTTATGTTGAGAATTTGGAGGACCTTTTGGACATTTTAACTGACCTGTAAAAACATTTCGTAATTGGGCTGCATCCCTCTGGCACATTGTTGATATACTTTATTTTCTCTCAAAAAAAGAATTCATTTCTGCCTTATTGTCCTGTAACCTATATAAGTATCAATGCAAGAAAAAAATAGGAAGTAGAGAAGAATTTCAGAAAAGGAGTTCCTGTAACCCATATAAGCTTGAATGAATTGATCACATAACAAAATATTAAAAGAGGGATGACAGCAACTTGCATGATAACTGAATCTTCCATCTGAATCTTTCGTTCTCTAATCTTCCTAATAACTGTTTAAAAACTAATTAGAGTACTAGCTACAGTTCTATTTTCATTAAAGCCCATTTTTACGAGAAATTTTATTAGAGCCCTTTACACCTTAATAGTTTCCCTCTTTTGAAGTGTGGCAACTGAAAGAAAATGGAAAGGACTTGGAAATTAAAAACTTTACGAGAAAGAAATGTAAGGATTAGCAAAAACGTTTGATACCAGCATATGGTTTTATACCACAATGCTTCAAAGAACACAAGGCATATCCATGCTTAATGAACATGATGCCATTAAATTTTAATTTCGCAGCTCATTTAACGCTGAAGGAGGCTCAAAAAATAAGACTCCAATTCTGAGTAGCTTGATAGAAATATTCCTACAGAATGGAACCTAAACCAGAAAAAAGTAACAAAGCTATAAAATGAAAAAGCAGAAACTATGTTACATATAACAGAGTGGAGTGAAACAACTAAACATCAAACTAATGATGGATTCCAGGGCATAAGATGAACCTAGCTTTAGGATATCAGGATATATCTACAAATGGGTATCACTTTAGGTATTAGAAGATATTATCTAAATGAGAGGCTGGCAGAGACAGGGAAAAGAAAAACGGCCTTACATGTACAGTCCAATTGTGATCACCACCACCATCATGGTGCTTCAAGTCAGCGTCAAATGGATCTGTCAAATAAAAATTTGTAAATAAAAGAATCAGTTGTTTTAACCCTAATCTGCAAGCATATTTAACATAGCATCCAAAAAAATTGTCTTTTTCAAATACACACCAGAAAATTATCATTATCAAGCAAAAGATGAACCGGCAGATAAATAACGAGACAGCTTATGATAACAAACAATCTAAGGCTACATCGTTTGAAGCAAAATAGTAACTAGACTGTCCCTCCAAAAGAAGAATTTCTCACTGCCATCTTCGGTAGATGAGATAGCACAAAGAATTTAATCCATAAACATAGACTTGTTTTGGTCCAATGCAATTTTAACACTTTGATCCGCTCCAAAATCCCCAACATTGAAGACATAATACTTGACTTCACAACTCGTTAAATAACAATGAAATATGTTCTCAGAATTTCATTTTATGTCAACTTTATAATGCTTCTAAAAAGTAGGCATTTGTCCATAACAATATTAAGAATCAAATACTGTTACATGCCAACGTAATCGGCAAAAGTACTCGCACCTAAATGCAATAAACCCTAAAAGGCCCAATTTATCTTCTTTCGTCTAAGCGCAAATTGCCTTTCTATTCCAAAAGGAAAAGAAAAAGAAAACTCCAAGTCCCACCAAAACCAAAAAAAAAAAAAAAAACCCTATTCCTAATCGATGTCCTAGCTTGTTAACTAAAGAGAGAGTTGAGCTAACCGTGATCCTGTTTCTCAATATCTAGGGCAGGAAGGGCGCGAATGTCGGGCGAATTGGAGAAGAGATAAGGGAAAATCCGGGCGGCGCCGCCAGCTATAAGCCGGCAAGCCGGATCCACAACCTTCGAGAGCCAGCCGCTCCGCTGGGATTGATTCTGCTGCGGTCGTGCGTAAGGCGTTGCCGGCGGTCGGCGTGGCGTTGGCCTCCTTAATTTGCCCCCGGCGCCACGCTCCTCTGCGTTTTGCATTGATGATGACGTCGTCCCCACGTTTTTCTCCATCCCCATCTCCCTCTCTAAAGTCCAAACGAGCAAACCCTTTTGCTTTCTCTCTCTCGCGCTCTCTTTCCCAAACACGGCAAACAAGCAGGGGAAGATGAGTAAAGCATGCGGCGCCACTTTTTTTTACTGCATTTTTATGGTAAGACTCCTTTTAAGGAAATTGAATATTTTTTGAGGGGATCATCAAGAATTTCTAGATTTATCTTTTTTATTTAACGATCCAAAAAAAATCATAAGAACTTAATCTAGTCTTCAAAAATTTGCAATATTCTTTTTTTAAGTATTAAATTCAAGAGCTTTAATGGTTGATTTAAAAATTTTTACTCACTTCTACATTAATAATAACTCCTAAAAAAACAAAAAGAAAATATTAGTATTCGTATATTATATTCTAATACGTTTCATTATTAAATTAGCAGATCCGCATATGAGTTTTAGTTTATATGAATTTAAAATATTTGAGTATTTAAATTTTTGTAAATTACAATTTTATTCTGGGTTTCTTCATTCTATGCAAATGTGTGTATCATTTAAGAATACGCGCGTGAATTTTATTTTATGTGAATTTGAAGTATTTGAATCCTCAATTTTTCGTCAATTACAATTTTGATTTGATTTTCTTCGTTCTACATAAATATTGTGTGTCATTTAGGAAATGCGGACGATGTCTTCGGCTCTCTTCAACCTTTATTTGCGACATTGTTTTATCACAAATTGTGGGAGGTGGATGTAGAATAACTAAGAGAATACCTTCTCTTCCACTGAGTTATAGCCTGAGGGAGCTTGTTGCCAACCAAAATGATGACAAAGACATAAGGGATTTGATGGAGAAAATGGAGGGTTAGATGGGTAAATAATGAATATGTTTCATTTTATATATATATATATATTGCTAGCTAATATTTTGTATAGGCACATAGATAAACACATAAACATATAATTACATCATATTTGAATATGTTTCACAGCTAAAAATGTTTTTATTGTGAAAATTATGAAATTTTTTAATTATTAAAAATATGATGTGTTTTTACTTTTGATATAATATTTAACTCTTAATACAATCTCAATTTTAAAAAGTTAGAATAATTATCTTATACATAGTGGCAAAATACATAAATATATAAGTACATTATATTTGAATATGTTTCATAGTTGAAAATATTTTTATTATGCAAAATATCATATTTTTTAATTATAAAAAAACATGACATTTTTTCACTTTCAATATAATATATTTAATTCTCAATATGATCTCAATTCTAAAAGTTCTAAGATTCCAAACTAAAAGTAATTATTTTATAAATAGTATTCCTTAATTGTCATTTATGTAATTATTAGAAAATTTTAATTAAAATATTTAAAGTGAAAGAAAATAATAATATATAACATAAAGGACGTAATTATTTTGTAGTATCTTTTTATTACCATAATTTGCATGTTTTCGGTTTGAAAATATTATGTAAAGATTTTGGTAAAGCTTAAAGAAGTTAGAGAGACGATTCATTTAATTGAACTGATCATAACTGGCTTAACATTCAATACGGATCAAAATATATGGTTGCTTAGCTTATTAAATATTATTAATAAGAATAATAATTCAGTATTCTTACTAATAAATCATGTATACTTCTTAGTTCATCATGCCATTGCTTTAAGTTTACATATAACTATATTGATCATAGTAAAAGGTATTTTAAATGCCTATGGTTCCCAGTTTATACCAGATAAAAAGAAATTCGATTATAATTTTCCTTGTAATGATCCAAGACGAGGTGGTACTTGTGATATTTCAACTTAAAATGCTTTTTATTTGATAGTTCTCCAGATAATACATATTATTGGATGAGTTACTTTTTATTAATATTATAAATACATCATATTATGACATGTAATATTTCACAATTTAATGAATTTTCTACTTATTTGATGGGATGATTAAGAGATTATCTAAAAAAACTTATACATAAATTCTTCACTTTATTTTTCGTATTGAAAAAGTCAAGATTTTATTGTTTTTGTGAGTCTAATTCATTGAAATTCTATTAAGTAAAATGGAAGAATTATAAATCTTCAAAATAATGAATACGAATACCGCAAACAGAGCCATTGCAACACTCATCAAATGAGTCGTTTCCATCGATGAGCTATTTTACCATATTCTAAATTCAATGGTTTTAATAAATCTCCTACAATAATTCCTCTTAGATTAGATCTAAAATTATTCTTAACGATTTGTGTAACCATAAATTTTACTTCGTGTTCATTGAAATCTGTTGACTTTATGTACTATTTTGTTATAAATAAATAATTTTAGTATAGATTCATCGTAGTCTTAAAATCATATAATTTATTATTTCTATAAAATTATATGAGGAAAAAAGATTTCAGTATGTTAAAGACATTTTATCAATGAAGGTCCAATTATTTTAGAAAAAAAAAAAAGAAAAACAATCAGATTTATATCTAATTGATTTAGATGTGTAGTAGAAAGACGTATATCTAACAGATTTAAAAATAAAATCTTTCCAACAAGTGATGAATGATGAAACTATGCATATATTTAAAGTATTTATTAGAATATATATAAATTTTCTCATATAAGTAATTTTGAAAGTCATGCAGTTTCTCTCGATGCATATTTCAACAAAAAGAAAATACTCTTAATAATAATAATTGATGAGAGATAAATAAAAAGCACATAAAAAAAAAAAAACATTTTGTCATTTGTTATTATTGGTTTATGATGGAGTAAACAAAAGCGGCTAAAAGAAAGGAGTAGAAAATAAAGGAATATATATATATATAAATGTATATATAGTTGTTCTTTTTGGTTTTTAAGAATGAAAAATGGAATCGAGTTCTGTGTTATCAGATTGGTTAATTGAGCAAAAAGACAATACATCTATCCTTCACTTCATGTTTACGTTCTCGTCAAGAGCCAGTTTGGTTCTCTGCTCAAACACAAACTCAATTAGTTGATGAATATTACTGTGATATGTACTTTTAAGATTTTGAAGTGTAAATTTTTTTTTTGGTTGAATTTTAGAAATATTTATATGCTGAAAAGATGTATAAGGTTCAAAACATGTTATTAGAGTTAGAGAGATCAAAATTCTAATTCGTGTGTGGTAATAGTCTTAGTTTTAGTGACTATCAAAATTCTACTCATGATTATTCAAAGTGTTGTAAATTAACAATCTTTGTAATAATGTGAAAAGAAAAAGAAACTTCACCAAACTTTAAGGTAACAAAGAAAAGAAAAGGACTAATATTTAGAAATATAATGTACAAGTTTTTGAGATTGTGCCTTATAAGGTTTTGTGGGAGACGGAGATGTGTTATGGCCTAATCTCGTTAGCTTTCTTGAAAATATTTCGTTTGATTAGATCGTATTAATTGAAATAGTTACAACGAGATAAAAAATCGTAGTAAATTTTTGTTTAAGGGTTAACAAGTAGATATGAACAAGTTGTGGTTTGAGATTCTTGGAACATCAAGGTGAAGAATAGCAGTTATAACCTTAATCTTAAGCCATGTGTTGCTGAGTACGACAACAAAGGAAAAAGAAAAAGATACTTGTAACACCGCCCGTCCGTTTTGGGTCCCCACTAGCTAGTCTTTCAACCCATCAATCAAATCCATCACCACTCTAATTGAACTACACCTCCCATCAACCTTCTCTGCTGGATTATGCATTGGGATATAGATATATAATTCAGGTTAAAAATACAACCCAGTTCAATGTTGTGATATTTTTTTTTTCAGATTTCTTCGTAATTTTAACTTTAACAGTAAATTAATTTTAATTTATACATTGCCCAACATAAACAAGTTTGCATAGGCATGTTGATCAATTAAAGACTAAAGGGTAGGGTGATGATGAGACGTTTATATAATTGTGAGCTCTTTCAGCTTTGATTAACTTTGCATGCCTTTATAATGCTAATGATCAAATCAATGCACCATATGTGTTGAAAGAGGCCGCAGCTTATATATAATAACTGTTAGAAGAAGCTAATTAGCTAGTTAGCTATACACACACACACACACACATATATATTATAGGACTGGTCCAAAATTTAAGAGAGAATTGATGGAAGACAGGAAGGGTATAACTAATAGCATTGTCCCTGAGGGAGATGAACCAAAAGACACATACAGAATGGCGTACATAATCCATTTCTTGCTCGGCGCAGGCAATTTGCTTCCATGGAATGCTTTCATCACGGCCGTCGATTACTTTGGCTCCCTCTATCCTTCCCGCCACGTCGAGAAAGTTTTCTCCGTGGCTTACTTAACTTCTTCTGTACTACTTCTTCTCGTCATGATGAGCTGCGGCCGGAAGCTGATAAGTTACAGATTGAGAATGAACTTGGGTTTCTCTATGTTCATTCTCTCTCTAATGGTGCCTCCCGCGATGGATTGGGCTTCGCGGAATTGCAGACTCGATGGAGGATTTTTCTTGACAGTGGCGTCGGTGGTCATCTGTGGTGTGGCCGATGGATTGATAGGAGGAACCTTGGGGGGATCCGCTGCCAACCTTCCTAAACACTATATGCAGGCTGTTTTTGCGGGCACTGCTTCTTCAGGTACCATTCCTTTTATTTATATATATATATATATATTTGTAAATAGGACCCAGAAAATAACTCAAACGTTAATTAATTCTTATTTTATTTAATTGTTAACTCTCTTTAATCATAAAATATATGGTAAATACTCCAGCTTAAAACAGTAAACCTTACAATAAAAATATCTTGTCATCTGAATTAAATAATTTTGCTAATTATTTACAAGTTCGGATATTGAATTAATTAGTTTTGACAGGAGTTGTGGTTTCAATATTGAGGATCATAACCAAGGCATCCCTGCCACAAACTCCTCAAGGTCTAAGAACCAGCGCCCATTTCTATTTCATAGTCACCACCACAATCCTGCTCTGTTGCATCCTCTGCAGTAATTTTCTTTACAAGTTACCAGTCATGCAGCAGCATTACCGCCAGGTTTCCCACGCCCATCACACCTCTTCTTCAACCATGCCGGAATTATGGGCAGTCGCCAGAAAAATCAAAAGTCCCATCGTCGGAATTCTCACTATATACGTCGTAACTCTCTCGATTTTCCCGGGATTCATCGCCGAGGAAATGAAATCCAGACTTCTTCAAGACTGGTACCCCATCCTGCTGATCACCGTGTACAATGTATCGGATTTCGTGGGCAAGTCTCTGACGGCAGTTTGCGTGGCGTCGAGTGTTAACAAGGCTGTATGGGCGTGCATGGCCAGGCTGCTTTTCTACCCGCTCTTTGCGGCTTGTCTCCACGGACCAAAATGGCTGAGAACTGAAGCGCCCGTCGTGGTTTTAACATTCATGCTTGGACTCACAAATGGGTATTTAACGAGTGTCATCATGATGCTATCTCCGAAGCTGGTTCCAGTTACAGAAGCTGAACTAGCTGCAATTGTAATGGTTGTGTTTCTGGGAATTGGCTTGGTGGGTGGCTCGGTTCTTGGCTGGTTTTGGATTATCTAATAATTACCAGTGTTGAGTGTTTTATTTTTCTTTATCCTTTTGAGATTGTTATTTTTATTTTTGGATAATGATGAAAGTGCTTACTTTCCGAATCAGGATAAACATTGAAATATGCCAAATTTGCTATAAGAAAAATTCTGATTCGGAGTTGGAAAGATGATGCAAATAAAAAGAAGTGAAGTCTCATGGCAACCGTTCCTTGTAAAGTTAGCAGCAAGTATTTTAGAATATTCTTCTCTGGCTCTTCCTTCCCCACACTTGATGATGACAAAAGGGAAAAAGAAGAGAGAAATTTACGGACTCAGGAATTGCAGAGAATTGGGCGCATAGAAAGGTCAACTAAAAGTCTTCTTAGATTATCTGAAACAAACTTATAAACTAACTAAGCTTAGTCAAAAACTTAATAATAATAATAATAAATCACTTGTATTTTTAAGTAGGGTAGATTTTTATTAGGTTTTTCTCTTCGAAGAAAATTCAGCAATACTGAATTAATAATTTTTCAGACTTAAATTATTAATTTTTAAAATTTTAAATTTAAATTATTAGTAATGTATAATTTAAACTTTCGTATTAAACTTAATAATTATATATTTTTTTTAATATGACACCGTAGTATTACAATCCCTATTATTTAAATTTTTAATATTTTCATCAGTGTCACACATCAAATAATCACAAATTACAATTGAAAATTTATGATCATATCATTAGAGTCACCAATTATATATTTTTGTACACTATTTATAACGTCTTAAACTTAAGTACTAATAACTAAATAAATTTTCAAACTCAAACTATTGATACTCAAAATTTAAAAAAAAAAAAATCAAATTATTAATATTATATGACTTAAACTCTTATACGAATTTCAACAATTACATATTATTTCAATATAACATTAGAGTATCACATATATAATCTATATATCTTTTATAAAAACAAAGAGAAAGTTGAAATACGAGACCTTTACGGAATTAAAATATCATTAAGATAACACGAGCAATAAAAGAATATAGGGTCCGAACGTGTACACTCCACCTTGAATTAAAGAAAAAATATAATCACTAGAAGGTTTTTTTTCCCCCCAAAGAATTCAAATGGTTGCAAAAGAGATAAGATTTTGTTTTCTTCATTTTTTGTGTCAAATAAGATTTTGTTTTCTCATGTCATTACACCACCCAAATCTCTCAAGTTATAAAGTTCATCATCCTCACTTAGTTGCCCTCTTGTATAAGTAGTAACAATGAGCTAAATTCTTTTGTTCTTTAAAGGTGTACACGGTGAGAAAGTTAAAAAATGAGACTTGTGATTTTTTGATGAGGGGAGGAGCTGGATAATTCATAGTCTTTTTAATACTTCATTGATGAAACATTGAGAGAGATACACAATTTATAGAGCATGGTGGCTCACCAATAGAAGACGAAAAAGAAGAAAGCACGCCACAAGAAAACTAAGAGAAACAAATTATAGAGGATCACAATGAAAAATGCAGAGAATAAAGGAAGAACATCAGTCTTATACAAGAAGGGACGATTATGAGCTAATTGTCGAACACGCGTGATCTGTCGTGAGCTGATGACTGAGTTGGCATGCTGACTGGGACATTAGTATGACCTGGACGAGTTTGCTTACTTGTCATCTTTCGCTTGCTGATGGGATAAGGTCTTCTTAACATTCCCCCTCAAACTTATCAAGGGAAACAATCGACTAGCTAGTTCAAGCTTTTCTCTAAAGTAATTGATTTGTGTTTGTGACTGCGCTTTGGTGAAGCAGTCGGCTGTTTGATCACATTAGGGAACGTATCTGACGTCAAGAACTCCTTTTGTTACTTTGTCATGGATGAAATGAACATCTACTTTGATGCATTTTATTCGAGAATGAAAAACAGGATTGCTAGCAAGGGCTGTAGCACTCATGTTGTCACACCAGGCCATCGACGCTTGTGGGATGATGATATTTATTTCTTTGCACAACGACTCCAACCAAGTAATCTCACAAGACAGATGGACTAGAGCTCTATATTCGGATTCGACACTTGATCTGGATACAACATTTTACTTCTTCGAGCTCCAAGAAATTAGATTTTCACTAAGATACACACAGAACCAGAAGTTGAGCGACGATCATCTCTTGAACAGGCCCAGTCTGCATCAGAGTACCCAATGATGCTCAGTTTGTCACTCGGTTTGATGTGGAGCCCAATATCAACAGTCCCTTTTAGGTAGCTTAGCACTCTTTTCAGGGCTTTCAAATGAAGGTCGATTGGTTTTTGCATGAACTGACTTAATTTATTGACAATGAATGATATATCTAGCCTTGTGTGAGTCAAGAATTGAAGGGAACCTATTATCCTTCGGTAGGGAGTCAGGATCAATCAGTTCTTCTCTGTCTTCTACTATCAGGTTCCCTTCAATTACTGTCGGTTTAGGGCATGGTTTTGCATAGTCCATGTTGTTTCTTTTAAGGATCTCTTCAGTATATTTGGACTGAGTGAAACAGTTGGTGTCATCACACAATGCTTCGATGCCAAGGAAAAGGTGGATATTACCGAGATCCTTCAGTGCAAATAAGTCATTAAGTTGACTGATGAAGCCTTGCATTTGTTCAGGCTTGTTTCCTGTGACAATGATATCATCAACATGGATTAATATGAAGATTGAAATTGCTTCAATGATAAAGAAAAAGATAAATGTGTCGGCTTGGGAATTCTTAAAGCCTCATATGAGTAATGTTGATTTTAGCTTGTCAAACCACGTTCTTGGGGCTTACTTTAGTCCATAGAGAGCTTTGTTGAGTTGGCAGACATAGTTGGGGCATGAAGGATCTTCAAAGGCTTCAGGTTACTTCATGAAAATTGTTTCTTTTAACTCCCCATTTAGGAAGACATTATTCACATCTAACTGCCTGATATGCCATCCATTTGCGATGGCTAAGACTAGTATAATGCGTAGTGTTGATGCCTTTATCACAGGACTGAAGGTATGATAAAAATCTATAACAGGTGTTTGATGGAAACCTTTTGCAACCAATCTGGCTTTACATTGTTGAAAGCTTCATTCAGCATTTTTCTTGATATTATACACTCATTTATTTCTGACGAGGTTCATTCTAGACAATAGGGAACCATCTTCCAAGTCTGGATGTTGCTAAAGTCGATCATTTCTTCTTCCGTTGTCGATTTCTAGTGAGGGTCTCTGATTGCTTCTTTGGTCATAGTGGGTATTGTGAAAGAATTTATCTTTATTGTTTTGAATAGTTGAAAGTCTTGTGATATATTTCTTGGTCTAAAAATCCCAGCTTGAGCTCTTGTCATCATCTGGTGTCTAGAAGTTTCAGTCACAATACCCTCTGTTTGCAGTCTCTCTTTAAAATGTTCTTCTAGTGTCACACTTTGATTGATGGGAGATTATGGTTCCTGCTGCAATGAGTTTTCGTTAACTAGGGGGTCTCTTAGCAAGTGTTGAGGTGAAGTCTCAACCGTAAGTGAGGATGCTGATGCTGTAGCTTCTGAGATGTCTTGACTGCTTATGCTCCTGGTAGGAGGTAAAGATTGAGTGAGGTTAAGAGATGTGTTGAGACAGAACGGTAGTGTAATTTTTTAGGGCATTTCTGATTGATGTGTATTGATAAAGCCATGGTGGAAAGAAAAATCTGACTCATTGAAGACAACATTCCTTGACACATAAATTTTTTTGGTTGAGCTAAGGCATTTGTAGCCTTTGTGAAATGAGCTATAGCCAAGGAAGACACACTTTGAATGAAAGGAAAGTTTATGGTTTGGTATGGTCTTAGGCAAGGGAAGCAGGCACACCCGAAGGTTTTCAGCTGTTTGTAGTTAGATTTCTTGTGGTATAGTTTCTCAAGTGGCGAAAATTGATTCAAGACTGGTGTAGGCATTCTGTTAATTAAGAATACAACCGTTTCAAAGGCATCAAGCCAATATTTTAGCGGTACTCCCGATTCAACAAGAAGCGGAAGGCATGTTTCGGCTATATGCCAGTGTTTCCTTTCAATTCGTCCATTTTGAGCCGAAGAGTGGGGGCAGGAGTATTTGATTTTTATTCCACTGTTTTGGAGTATTTGAGCCAACACAGTGGACTCTCCCCCCATATCAGATTAAAAGCATTTTATTTTTTTTACAAATTGAGTTTCTGTTTATTGTTTGAACATGAAGGTGTGTTGGACATTTGATTTCTGTTTTAGTGGGTAAAGCCAAGTGAAACAACTATAGTTATCAATGAAGGTTATGTAGTATCTATCGCCTGAAGGTGTAGGGAGAGGTGAAGGTCCCCATATGTCTATATAAACGATTTCAAAGGGCATTTCTGCTTGTCGCAAGGATAGAGAGTATGGAAGGAGATGAGATTTGCCCAGTTGACATGCATCACAAAAGAGTTCTTCATTGACTTTAAAAGGTTCATTACATGATTTCAAACTAACAGATAGTGTTTTTTATTATGGGTGTCCAAGTCTCTTATGTCAAGCTTGCAGTTTTGATTCAGGGGTTCGACTACTGTCTTGGGTATTCTTGCTGGTGATCAGGCTTGACAGCGAGGATGAGGAAGGACCAATGGTTTCGAGGAACCCAAGCAGAACATGCCATCTCCAAGCTTCCCCAGCAACAGCACATTCCCGGTGGCTGTGTCCTTCACAAAACAATGAGAAGAGTTAAAGGTTACTTCAACATTATTTAAAGATTTAGTTGAGAAATACTCAGTAGATTCCTTTTAATTTTAGGCACATGCAACACTTTATGTAGTGTTAGTTTTTGGCTACTGGGTGTATAGATGTTTGCCTTACTAATATGTTTGATATGCAATTTCTCACTGTTTCCAATCATCAGACTTTCATTTCCTGCAAACACTTGCTTTGATTGTAGAATGTTGGGGTCACTTGTGACATGGTTATTTATGCCATTATCGGTATACCAAACTGGGTCTTCAAGGTTGCTTTCGGTGGAGAGTGAAAAGGCCGAACTTTGCTGAGCTTTTTAGAATAGCACCCATGTAGTTGTTGTCATATTGATAGTATCAGTGAGCAGCAGTGTACCCGATTTTGCCGCACACCTAACAGATTAGTCTGGTGCTACCACTGCTTCTTCCTCTCCTCTTTTGGTGTTGTAGTGGCCACCCCTGTTTAGATTGTTGTTCCATTCGCCTCCTTTGTTTGTTGTATGAAAATGAGGATTTTAATAGTTCATGTTGCTCCTGATATTGGAGAAATTCGCTGAGGGTCATCCGAGAATAAGATTCGCCATAGTGGTGTTGAGTTGTACCAGTCGCATTTCATAGTTCAGTAGTCGTGATTGGAGTTCCACCCAACTTATGCTTTCTTTCTCGGTAATTTGACATACCAGTAGGTTGTATTCAAGGGAGTATAAGCCTGCGAGGATTTGAGAAACCAAGTCTTCTAGTGTTACAGGATGACCTGTTAATGCATGATTATCAGCAACTCTTTTGATAGTTTTGGAGTATTCTTCCATTTTCAAGCTTCCCTTTTGTATTTTGACAAACTCTCGCTTGTAATAGATTATGTTCGCCCTTGCTTTAACTGCGAATAGGTCTCCGATGGCATCCTAAAGGAGTTTTGATATTGAGTGTCCCATTAATTCGGAAGCTACGCTCATTTCAATTGAGTTGTAGAGCCATCCTAGCAGCATTTGATCATGTGCGAACCAATCTTCGAATTCTGGGTTCACAGTGGTTTCCACTTCGTTGCTTCCTTCAACGATTCTCTCTGTATATTCAGGTGGACTGGCTTTGGCTCCGGTGGTATAGCCTTCCAGCTTATTTCCTCTGATAATCGGAATGACCATGTTTTTCCAGAGAAGGAAACTTTCATGGTTAAGTTTCAGTGTGCAAATCGAGTTCATTGTGTTGCCAAGTAGGGTCTGAGTTCTTTGAGGTGGTGGGTTTAAGGTGAGGAGTTGTTGTTTTCTCCTGCCATTGCACTGGCTCTGATACCAAGTTAAAAAATGAGACGTGATTTTTTGATGAGGAAAGAGCTGGACAATTAATATTTCATTGATGAAACATTGAGAGAGATACGCAATTTATAGAGCATGGTGGCTCACCAATAGAAGACGAAAAAGAAGAAAGCACGCCATAAGAAAACAAAGAGAAATAAATTACAGAGGATCACAACGAAAAATGCAGAGAATAAAGGAAGAAGATCAATGTTATGCAGGAAGGGACGATTGTGAGCCAGTTGTCGAACACGCGTGGTTTATCGTGAGCTGATGACTGAGTTGGCATGCTGACTGGGACATTTGTATGACCTGGACGAGTTTGCTTACTTGTCATCTTTGGCTTGCTGATGGGATAAGGTCTTCTTAACAGAGAATTCCCTCTTCCACTACCTCCTAAGCAAAATCATGGGATGCATTAAACTTTCAAATTTTTTAAATAAATTCACTACAAAATGAAATATAATAATCAAAATGCATATAAAAAGATTTCTTTTTTAAAAAAAAAAAAAAAACTACTAACATCTAAGTTACTAATGAGTTTGTCAAGTCTACTAAATTAAACATCAAAGTTAGAAAAGTACTAACGAAGTTTGACATATTCATAAAACTCTCTATTATTTAAATTTTTCAAAATATTAAAATTCATACCTCTTTGATAAAAAAGAAAAAAAAATATTTTACTTGTTGAAGTTTATTTGCTTCTATTGAGGGAGAAAATGTTAGAAGAATATTAAGAAAATATCTCGTGCCTTCTGATCATTATAAACATCACGCCAAAAAGTCACTAATATCATAATCGACTATTATCTTGAGGCAACATAAGTCTACATTAACTCAAACTAATGTTCTCCCATATGACAAGAGTTATGTGGAGCTCTAGAATATCTTGCTAATAACTCAACCATTCAAATTTCGCACGACATTGATAGCTCACACACCTTGGCTGGAAGAAAAAGGGGGACACCTCACTTATTGAAGCTTATTTTCTTCTAACAAGAGGGAAAACATTGAAGAAGCACCAAGTGGCCTTTCTACCTCTTTTATCGCTCTAAATATCACGAAAAAAAAAGACCCATTTTATGTTCTAAACTGATGTTATAAAATTTCCAGAAAGTCCATATGTCCATTGGCTAGAAGAAAAGATGGATATCGCAATTATTGAGAAAACAACCAAGCAGGTACCTCCATTTCAATCCTCCGAACTCTAAAACGTATGCAAATTTCGTTGTCCCCGCAGTCAACTGTGTCATCTTGATGAAATCATATAACTTGGCTTACACTGAAAAAAGTAAACAAATCATTAAACTCTACTTATACCATCTTGAGCAAACAATCTCCCATATGTGAATATCTAGTCACCCACTTCCAAACTTAACTCTAGACTACTAGTGCGCATCCACTTTTTATTTTCAAATCAACTTATTATCATAAATGAAAGACTCAATACTATAGACGAATAAATTCTTCCTGCATTCTTTTTAGTCATTTTATCAAAATCCAAGTAATCATTTTTATAACACTATTGAATACATTTATGCTTAACTTTCGAGGGCCCACAGAGTAAAATCTTTTAAGCTACAAAGAATAAATCAATCCACGTAGCTTCTTGATGATGATGAAGATGAAGAAGAAGAAGAAGAAGAAGAAGGAGAGTTCCATTGTAGAACACATAAATCAAACTAATGAAAATGATAATTTACAGGCAGCAATTCATGAGAGCTAGCGAGAGAGAGAGAGAATTTCCTTCCATATCTTATTCTCTATTACATGATATGGAAAAAGCTCCAACAATCCATTGAAAAATAGAGCAAGAGGTTAAACACAACTCATCTCAGTGCAGCAAAAGGGTAAAAATACAGGGTTAAACAAAAATAAATTGAAGTATAAACAAAGCTAGTAAATTAAGCCTGAACCATATGATACAAGAGAAGAAAAAAGAACCAATGAAAGCTCAAGAAGCGGCTAAAGGCAGAGCTCCATGAAAAAGACCATGTTGGTTCATCTGCTTTGTTTCTTTTTTTCCTTCTCCATCTTCATCTTCTTCTTCAGCATCCCAAAGATATCGAGCATAAGATGCTAGTACATAACTACAACACCATGATAATGAAACAAAATTTAGTTGATCAATTCATGACGGAAGTCAACCTAATATAATATATTACTCAAGCCCGAAAAGCAATAAAATAAAGACCCCAGGGTGATGCCTACTTATAAGGTTCATTTCTTCTGAGATGTGGCTGCAAATACTTATTGGTGAATCCCCTAATTCTACTTCATAGGGTCAATTATAAAAGCAAAACTGAGTCTACCCGCTAATAAAAAGAAGGCAGTTATATATTATGATCACAAAAACAGGGGTTTTTCGATAACAAGAGATGTTTTACTACTTGATCTTCATGACTTTTACCAAAACTTGAATATCTGGCTCATTTGTGAGCAAGCTATTATTTCTCTTTATTTCTCTTGGCCTCAAGATTAAAGTACGTCCTTCCCTTTCTATATTCATCTCTACTTTTGACATACATATGATCATCAATTTCTGAATGATTATTTTCTCTAAAACACCTACCAAAATAATTTGTCTAAAAAACTTTTAGAATTCATTCCAACTTTGTTTCTCAGCTCTGACGAAACAATAAGTATGCAACATCGGGCAGTCATTACCTGTCGGCAGGGGCTGCTTTTACAGCTTGATCAAAATAAGTCTCAGCACGAGGAGCATCTTTGTGAATCTGCCATATTAATTCTGCATACATTGATAGAGCATTTGCATCCTCCGGATTAGCCAAAATCGCACGCCCATAATATTCCTCAGCCTTCGTAAAGTCCTCCTGGACCTGTTTCAGAAAAAAGAGAAGATAAAGATTCCCTATATTCATTTACGTGCTTATGTTTGTGGGGATAAAATGCTTTAATTAAACAAAAGGAAATATGAGTAACGATAGTTGGCTAAAAATAATAAATTTCAATTTCAATTTATTTTTTTTTCAAAAGATTATGATTACCAACGTACTCAGATCACCTAACAGTCGCTTTTAACAGTTGAAATTCAAGTACTATTTCTTCCAAATTAATAAAACAAAAGTAATAAAAATGTTTATTAAGGGCACAGTAAATAAATTAATCAATTAACGAATACGAAGCTGAATTGAGCACAAACCTCTTTCAAGAATCTGGCATAATTGCTAAGAACAAGCGCGTCCCCTGGATTAGCCTCGATCATCTTCCGATAGTACGCATCCATACTATCATTCTCATTATTTGAATCCCAGCACCCCCAGTTCCCATCGTCATCTCCACCGTAAGATCCTCCCCCGCATCCACCGATCCCACACCCAGCCAAAACCTCACGACTTTTCTCGAACGAAACACCCAGGGGCAAGCCACAACTCAATGACGCTGTTTCTGGCAACTCAGATCCACACTCTTTTTCCTCATCTTTCTCCTGTACTGAAACCCCGCCGAGGATTCTGTTAGTGGGTTTCTTCCTCGTTATCGAGAGGGCAGGAATATCAGTGTCGGAGAGCGCCCTGGTCATCTTGTTCATGGAATCATCGGTCGAGGACAAGTGAAACGGGCTCGAATAAGAAGCCGAGAGGGTGATGGGGCGGGTTCTGGGGACTTGGTGCACCGTTTCTGGTTCAGGAGAAGGTTCCTTGGAGGTAGAGTGAGGGAGCCATGAGTTGAGTATCGGCGTTGACGCACTTCTCAGAAGCATTTGCTGATCCAAAATTGTTTACAGAGGGTGGATCTGAGGCGTGGGTTGTGTATAATGGAGAATGGAGGGTATTGGTTAAAGGTGAGAGAGGGAATGAATCGTCCGGGTCGGATCTGAACCGTTGGATGGACAGGGAGAAAGATTTCTTCACCTTGGATCGTTCAATGGGGTGTTTGGCGCGCCCTTCCTAGGCTCTATTTTGAAATTATTAAAATTTAATTTTAACTGATTGACTGCAATAATTATTTTAATTATGTTACATTACATAATATTATATTAATTTTAAGTACAAATATAATAAGTAGTAATTGGACGAAACATGTATACTGCAAATTATAAATTTGAATTCATATTCTGTCTATAAATACATAAAAAATACTAAATACGCACACACATAAGATTCGAAATCATTATTTATCGTGACTTAAATAATTGCACGTCTAATATAAATTTTTAAATAAAAATTGTTTTTCAAGGAAGCCAAACACGTTCTTAAAAACTCAATTTTGGCTTCTTTCCCAAGTTGATGTTTGACATTCACAGGCCCCACACAGCACTCTCACGTGAGTTGGGACCCATTTCCAGCTGCGTGATTTATTCCAAGATCAATCCAACGGCTCTTCTTCAATCACAAACCGGAAAGCGAAAGAAAAGGCATGGGCAGGATTTTTCTGCCGTTTCATTTCTGCAAATTTACGAGAATGCCACGTTCGCACATCTAACGTGGACGGACGTTACGATGAGGTGGAGCCCACGGGTGGAATCATCCGGTGGCCATCCATTGGCCGTTTATGGAAAGTGCCTTTGACGTTTGAGATTTTTAATATTTTTGGGTTTTGTAACGTTTCTTTAATATACTTTGCCATAAATTGCATGCAAGTTATATTTTTAGATTTCTTTTAAAATAAATTATTACGTCATTCTCTTGTCAAAAAGAAAAGGGCATGCAAATAAATAAATAAGGAAAAGCCATTTATCATGGCAAGGCATGTTTTGGTCTTATGCGATACGAAATACAAGAGAAAATAACTCTCTGTCGTAATTTCTCAATCACTTGGTATTATTGTCTTCTTGCATATTCCATCCATAACACTTGTAACGTAGGCTTAGAGAATGAAAAAAGGAACAATAAAAACTACAAATACCAAAATGTATTGCAAAAATCTAAATAAAATAGATGTGGAGGTCAACCAGTTATATGTAGTTCAGGACGATTAACACAAAGTTTTTTACATGGAGGATGCGTGAAATATGAATGTTCCGGCCTTGAAGGGAATTACAACTCTTATATGAACTTGTAAATTCATGTTCCTTCTAACAATCTTCTCATACAAAAAATCTACCACAATAATAATTTTTTTAATACTTATCTTTAGATTATTCTGAAATTTTTTAAAATTATATGCTAAGAATATTAGAAACAAAAAAAAAATATATCTTTTATTATTAAATGACCCACCATCACGGAAAGATGAAAGAGATAGAGAAACTGCTAACCAAATTGAGTGAAGGAGAATTCAGAATTCAATGAATAAATTGACAAAGAGGCAGATATCAACATCATGAATAACTTGAAAGTTTAATTTTTCATAACAAAAAAGACAAGAAGACGAACTTTATTATATTTAAATCACATTCAAAAATCAAGTCTTTCAAATATGATCTTTAAATTTACAATGAGAAGATATCATCAAGGTAGGACCCATTTCACATGCTCTCCATGTTTCTATTTCATGTTGTCTTTGTTAATCATTATGTGTGTACTTGAGCAGCAGATACTGATGTTTTTTTCCCATTCATATATTGATAAAACTTCAGTAATTAGTTTTGTTCAATCTCATAAACTCAGTTTAGTAGAAGATGCCTTTTTTTTTCCTATTATGTACATAATTTTATTTTTAAAAAAACAAAAAAATCCATTAAAGATGTGGAGTTCAAAAATCAAACAAAAGAAAATTGACTAGAAAATAAGAATATTTTCCAATAATAAACATAGCTAAAAAAAAAAAGAATACTTGTTGAGAACTTTTCTGAATACCATCTTCGCATCGCTTTCGCAACACGATGTGCTCTAACAAAAAAAAAATTACAATCTCCAACCCGTAAATCATCTATAGATTCTTCATGTTGCAATATATAAGGCAAAAAAGAATTAGAAATTTGCAATATATGCCAAATAACTTTGAACAACTTTTTCAGAGTGAAATTTTATATCAACAATATTTATTGGAAGAGGGTAATTGAGAGAATTTTTTTTCGTTGTTTCACTTTAAAACTCAGAAAAAAAAAAAAAAACTTTTAATCAATTCAACAGTTCAAAATAGTGAATAACGTGAAACTAAATAAGCAACAAAACTTGGGCAAGAACAAAATGGCTCTAGGAACAAGATGGGTGAGAAAGTAATATTTTATCTTTCTGTATGTTAACTCTCAGTCATAAACTTAATTTTTTGGTTCTCTACTAGCGAAGATACTTTACTAAGTATTACTTGATTTATTACCACGGCTGAACATTTCGATGACCCCGTCAAACATCTTGCCTTAACACGCTAATGCAACAAAGAATCCATATTTTGAATGGGCCTCTAGCCACACTTTACCAGCATAACTAAATTAATATTACAGTGTCCAGGAGGCAGTGGCCATTTCAGGCTTCAGCAGATGGCTCAGGCCCAGTTGAGGAATGTATTAGTAACGTTACCAACAATGCTGGAGCCCGCGTTACGAATGTTACCAAAATATGCCTGGTTTTGGGTGGAAGCTGGTGTTTACATTCCATATCTTATGCAACGTCAAGACCAAGTTGGACATTAGAGAGTGTGCATCCACACGCACGTAAATTATAGAAACCAATGGCTCCACTAGTAATAGGGTAAATGGGGAGAATACTGTAAAATGCTTAAGCTCAAGCTTAAGATTTGCAATATATGGTAACATTTATTCCCGCATGTGTAACAATGCGAATGAAATTTACATCATGTACTAGAAAATATGAGGCAGATTGTAGTAGTGTATGCCACCAAAACCTTTTGCAGTTACAAGTGGCTTGCTTTCTGAGGA